ATAGCATGAATTCGCTATCTGGAGAAAGCTGTAATTGTCGGCGGATGTAGTGTCTTGCTCTTCAGCTGGGACTACTTACAAATGGGGCAACCGATATGTAAGTGATACGCCTTGTTAGAATTGTGCGAGAGTGGCAGGAACTACACATTGCTGAGCAAACTGAATATTGGGGTAAGAGACTCTCATAGCTCCCTAGGGCATCTCCTCTCTTTTACTCTTATGTTCATCTTTGTATATCTTTTGTCAAAATTTTCACCATTCACATGTTCTTTCTTAATTCAACATAATCTTCACAAAATTAGTTTCTTTTCGGTATATTCTCCATGTTTTGGTTTTCCTTGCTATTTACTTTATTAGATTTTATTTTTATTTGTTTTCAATTCTGTGTTTAATATTTTTTCTCTTTAAATTTACAATGTTTTATTTGTTACTTGATAAACGGATATTGTACGACATAAAAATAAAATGTACGTAGTTTCTGCAACAAGAAGCAACAGGAGAACATTGCGTTTATTAAAATTAAATCATATGTATTATTATTATTGTATTTCAAACACATTGGTCAGTATTTAAAAAAACTGAAATTCAGTAAAACTCAGCCCACCACGACGTTAAAAACGCCCCAACTCCCACTGTAAGATTAAGAATAAAGAATATTAATGTTTTGTTTTACATGATACATTTAAACTATTATTGCTTAACTTAAAATAGGTAAATAACTTGAGTTTTAACTTAAAACTAAAATTATTTGCCTATTTTCTTTTCTTGATATGCGGATTGAAATAAATAAATCAAAGCTTGTCGAAGCAATGCTTTTTACATAAGATTTTTAATTTTAATTAATAAACATCATTTTGGTACAATAAGTTCCAAAAATGATCTTTATTCCTTTATTAAAGTGAAAGCATTTATTGTTAGCTTTCAAGCACAATTGCTTCTTTTTTTTTTTTAGTATTGAAAACATTTCATTGCAACAAGTCTGTTCATAACGAATATAGACTGTGGACATTGCAAACAAACGTAAAAATGTTTACTACTATTTTTCTTGGATTACCATTTCATTTTTTGTAGGTACCTTCATGAAAACTAGTAAAATAACAAATTTTTAGCCCTTTTTTTTGTATGAGAGATATTAATTTGGAAAATCTTGCAAAAATAAAAATAATTGTCGGATGTTAATGAAACTCTCAGAAACTATTCACAAATGATGGAAAAAAACATATCTATAATAGATATGTATTTTTTTAAAGTCATGGAAAAATATTTTTTTTTATATTTATTAACCCCTCCCCTAACTAATTTTATGAAAACTCTAGAAATTCAGTCGCATTCAGTTTAGTGATTAAAAGTTAAAAGCACAAGGCTTTGAGAAAAACAATTTATGCATTTTTTTTAATTGGACCCTCCTACCTGAAAATCAGCTCTGAATTGTAACATACAAAACTCAATAGAACAAAGATATTATTTAATTTCAAATGCTTTTATTTGCTTTTAGTTGTTTTTTTATGAATATGGACAATATTTTCTGAAAGCAAAAATTTTTTTCGATGAACAATGAATTCTTGATACAATTATTTGTTATTTCTTACATTTAAATTGTTAAAAAATTATAAAATTAGTTAAAATCCGCATTCAGTTTCGTAAATATCCTTTTGAGATAGATCTTTTATTTAGTGCGTTGTAAATTGTATCTTTTGACTAATCAGAAGACACGCAGTAATTAAGAAATCTAATTTTGTGTTTATAATAGAGCTGTAAAGTACGGAAGACCAACCAGAATACCATTAAGTTGTGTTATTTGAGTTAAACATTGTTCTCCGCTGTTAAGGCCTTTACTTTTGCAAAACATGTGTGGAGAAGTTAATTTGATTTTTCAGTTTCAACTGAGAAGGGTGCCTACAAGTATTAGTATCATCTTATGAAATTTATATGATTTTATTTTTATATTAATCTCAGTTATGACATTTTTCCATAAATGAAATATCAAAATTAATAATAAAATGAATGGAAATACAAATAACACAGTAAAATGTAATAAATGTACATAAAATTATAGTATTTTATGTACACTTTTGATAAAATTTCATAAGAAAGGTACCTATAAATTAATTAGATACCTTTCTTATGAAATTTAATCTCACTCTTAACAGTCTTATTTTAATTTCTTTATAATATATTTTCCATAAAGCATCGTAAACGTAAGCTAAAAAAAATATTAGAGCGCTGAAAGTTTTCCTTAAAAGTAAGGAGGTAAATAATTTGTTCACTTAATTTTAAATAAGTTCACTTCTCTCATTCCGTAGAATAAATTATTTTATTTTTCAAAACTAGTAGCATGGGCCCGGCCCGTTCTTGATTAAAAATCACGCCATACAGCAATCACTATCACTTGCCAGTAGAAATGGCCAATAAACTACATGAAAACTGCCATAGAAGCATGAAAAAATCGATTATTTCTACTATCATGGGAGTTTGAAATGCAAAAGTCGTCTTGGCCTTTCCCCTGGGCAACTTGGAGTATGTGCATGCAAATTTTGGTGCAACCACAAAATTGCCGCATTTAAGTATTTGTTACACACACACACACACACACATTCTGCCTTTTATAGATAGAGATTACAATCTTTTCAAGAGAAAGCTGTTAACTCTTGTTCAAAATATTTTAAATAAACATAATTTTGATTTTCTTAAAATAAGTTAAAAATGACAATTGATATTTAAAAGAATTTAAAGTGAGATTTCCAGTTTTTACATAAAAAAAAAAAAAAAGATCAATTTTGCTAACTAAAAAAAAAAAAAAAAAATTTTGGACGTGCGCGGAACGATTAAAAAAATGTAAAAAAATACCCCCAAAATACTTTGATCTTTCCTCTTATTAATAACAAACATTTAGATGATAAAATTTTGTTTTTGTCAAGTTTGGCATCTTTTTCATCATGCTATGCTCTTTTTTAGCAATCTCGTAGAGGTACCTAATTAAGTATTATCGATCTGAAACAAAATCAGATATTGACTGGAAACACCATCATTACACAAGAAAATGAATGGCTACCTTAGAAAGCAAAAACTAAATTAAAAACCGAAAAACCGCAGTATCAAGGAAACCAGAACTGGAAACCAATACTGAAACATAAATTGCCAAACCAACCAACTCTATTCTTATGATACCAATGACTGAGGTGTCTGTTTTGGCTGAATAGAAGATGTTGCTTTTGGGTCTATATCATGCATGCAAATGACCATCACTTGCATGAAGGCAACCACTTTAAAAACCTCTTAAAAATCAAATATCTGTACTAGAGATTTATTTTAATCAAATTAAAGTAAAATTAAGAATTAACAGAATTTTGGAATAAATATTACTTGCTTTTTGTTGTTGAACTAATGAACAAGTGATTATGAAAAGTCTTGAAGATAGCATTCAGAGGGATGAAACATTACAGACATTGCTTATGCCATACAGAAGAAATTGCATCAAAATTCATTTTATAGCAACGTCTACAGGACAAAAGAACAGAGGCTGATAAACCATGATGTTCTAATATATTTATATAAAATATTAGTATCAGAAATCTGGGATGAACTAAAACATCTGATGGATTAGGATAAGGTGTTGAGATGTTGAGAGTAGACTCAGCAAAACTACCTAGACTTTACACTTAAAACATAAGAAAAAAATATTTGAATACAGCAAGACATATTCCAAGTTCAAAAGTCAAACAATAACAAACTACTTCTACAATCCACATTTTAAAAATAAATACATCAAATTGAATTAAAGACAGAGGACCAAAACTACCAAAATATAGAAACTCGTTTCATTTATGTTTAAAAATATTTTTTTTAACTTTATATAAACAATAAGTTAGAAATATATTTTTATTCTATAGTCCTATATGAAACTAGGAAGAATTAATACTTTTATATTAATAGGAATATAAAAAAAAGAAAAAAAATTAAACACTTTTACCCAGTGCATTTAGTTTTCCACTTATTCGACGTCCCAAAATTGCAGCAAATCAGGTTTTGTTAATTATTTTAAGAAAATTTGTTAAGCAAAAGAAAATGCTACTATAAAAAAAAAAAAAGAAAGAAAAATGACACCATTTTACCAGACTGCTGCTATTTTTAACAAGGCAGAAAAAAATGGGTTATTGGCTAGAAGGTTCAACCTCTACTACCATTCCCCCTCTGACATTGTAAACCAACAATATATCAAGTATTACCTTTATAATAGCCCACTTAAAGTTGTTCAAAAGACAAGTTCTTTTGAACTTTTCTTCATCTGTTCACTTATATGTATATAACATTTATTTTAGTTATTCATTTATAACCCGTTTCATGGATAACAAATAACCTGAGTGTATACACACACACACACACACACACACACACACAAGGAATCAATAAGTATATAGAACGACAGCCTTATACCAAGGTGATTATCCACAGGGTAAAAATTATGGGGAGATCTAAGATTAAGATACAAATGATATCAAATATTGCCTTAGCTGGAGGGGAAAAAATTTAAATCAAAGAAAAGCTTTTATGGTTAAAAATTTATGAATCCGTTTTAAGTTGTGGAACATTTCTATCTAATCTTAGAAAATGAAAATTGATTTCAAACAATTCTCAAGGATCTTTCCATTATAACATTATCAATCTAGGACCTATAAAATCTTGAAATCAAGTTTGGTATCGGTAAAATCCAAAATTACATATATGAGAAGTAATAAATACAATGAAATCCCAAAATGGTTGCTTTTTTTTTTTATTGCTGCTTATGCAGACAATTGAAAAAAAAAAAAAAGAAAAAAAAAAAAAGATTTTTGGTTGTTGCAATGGCTTTTATTCACAGGTAAACAACTCTTAGCAGAACAGTTGCACAACTTGAACAAAAATAAATGTTAACATGAATTTTTAAAAAAATCCTGGGAATATGCCAACATTGCATTGTTGGGAAGCTATGAGGTTTGCATTAACTCCCCAAAATGCACAGTTTATTCATGAATATCCACTAAGAACCCTTCATCCAAGCTAGGCAAGACATCCAATTCAAGGTTCACTCTGCAGGAGAGAAAGATTTTACCAATAATTAAACAAAAATCAGAAATAATATTAGTTTTAGCTATTTTTCTGATTGCTTAGTTTGTTTTTTTAGTTTGAATAACTTAATAGAAATTTAAAAGTAATAATTTTGATACATATTTGTTTCTAAGCTTTCAAATATGACTACTGCTTTCAACTTTGAAAATTTCAAACAACTGGTGTTGTTGATATTATTTAATCAATGTCTCAGTTGATCCATTCTACAAGCTTCTTTGTTCGGTGCTCTTAATACTGGGAAAAGGTTATTAGCAGTGATCCTGCAATGCAGGACAAAAATGGCATTGACTTAACTGTCCTTCGTTTTTTTTTTCTAAGGAAATAAGCAGAATCCAAGAGACATCAACTATGTAACTACAGCAAAAAACAATATGTAAGAGGCACATTTAAATAGAATCAAAGGATTTGTGGACATTACATCAAAGTGGGTTTTCCCTAGAAAGTAAGGAATTTAAAGGAATTAGCATACATTGGTTGAAAAACTAGTTGCATTAATCAAGCCAGTATAGATTTCAATATAGAGTAGCTTTCTTTTGATCGTTAGGAGGGTTGTAGGGACTCTTCTGTGTATAAATTAGAATTATATGGGTGGTAGCAAATAAAATTATCTATGTCTCTTGTATTGCTAAATTGAATCAATCTGGTCAGTACAACCATCTTGGTTTGATTAAAAAAAAAAAAAAAATAGAGCAAGAGGTTTCTCTTTCCTTACAAATTATACACCTGATAAATCTATAGAATGGATCAACTGAAATGTGGAAACACAAAAAAATGAGTATAATGTCCCAATCAAATCTTGGAATTATTACCATTTGTTAATTAGGTTACAGAAAAATTATCCAAGTTGGAGATTCATGTATTAAAAAACTCAATTTTAATGCTTTAAGACAATAAAATGAAGTTTTGCCCTTTAAGTTAAATGCCTTCTTCCATGTAGTTAATTTGTTTCTAGAATGAAAACTTCACCAAAATACCAATATTAAAAAATAAGGAAAGAAAAAGAGAGGGAGAGGAATCGACTTTCCAACAATCGGGTGCCATTCCAAATTTAGAAATATTTGCTTTCATAGCACACAAATATATTGATTCTAAATATTTGCACAAAACCATAATTATCCAAAAGAAAAGAAGAACTGATTAAGCTTGAAGAAAACATTAATTTAAATTGAAAATTACTTTTTCTTCAAAAAAGAATTGTAGTTAATTTTAAAAAGGAAAAAGAAAAATTTTGTTGCAAAAATATTTTCAAATATATCAATATTCTGCACAGAGATTTAGTCTCTTAAATAACATGCAAGAATTTAAGTTAATTTCATTATTTATATTTTTAGTCAGCAAAGCTGGTTGGCACACCTATAGTCACCTACAAGTGAACATTTACAGAGTTGTATAAAAAAAAAAAAACAATCATTTTGCACATAAGTGAGTCAAGTATTCTGAGTATAAATCAATTTCCAAAGAAAAAAAATGATGGCCTTGTTAAAATAACAAAGATAAAAGTATATACTTACTGCTTTAATCCATTACGAATTTCTTCTACCTTTGATGGATGACAACACACAGAGCAACGAACTTTGTTTGCATCAAAGAAATCAACCACATACTTTTCACCAACTCTCTTCAGGTCATCAAGAGTCACTTGTGCAACCTTCTTGAGCATATCTCTGTAAAAAGAAATACATATTCAAAAATGTATTTGTTCATGGAGAAATTCATGTGATGCTATCAAACAATTGGGGTATTTTGATATTCTTTCGGATAAGAAACAAAACTCGCTAGACTGTCTTCAATTCTTTTACTGTTTCTAAAATAATATGAGCAATATCTTGTGATAAAGACAATGCTGAAAATGATAGCAAATAAAAATTTAGACTAGGTTTTGCTTTCACATGGATGCTATATTTTTAGATAAAATTGAAGACCATCAGCCATTGTTTCAATTTCCAAATTAAACAACAAAAAAATTAGGTTAAACTATCTTTAACTACAATGAAAAAGTTTGTTCTTTAGCCAGTTTGGAAATATATGCTGATATTGCTATAATAAACAAATTTTATATTTTTTCTTTTTATAGATGCATTCAAGTAATGTTAGCTTCCTTTTAGCTTGAAGAAAAGGAAAATTCAACATCAGCTTGTCACCATAAACTATCTTCAAATTATTGACATATGATCAACAAATATGCAATTAATATATCACCTGTTGTAATTGTGACTAACACACTTGAGATAAGAACGAAGAGAAGCCATCGATACATCTGCTGTTGTCTTTTCTAAATCAATGATCTCAAATATCAGACTGCTGCGAGCACTTTCCAATTCGATCTCATTAAATTGAGAGTCGCCCTTGATGTAACTCATCTGCAAACGAATACAACAAAAGAATTTAAAATCGATTTTTAACCATTTTTATTTATTTCAATGACTTTCAAGTCAACAAAACCTTTCAACAAACACCAAACACTTTTCAAAGGTGTCCTAATGCTTTTGATAGTCAAAGAGAAAACTTCATCACAGTCTTAAAAGCTTCATTTTTTTTTTTTTTTTTAAAAGAAAAAAACTTTAGATTTGAATCAACCTGATAAATTATTTCACTGTGCTAATATCAAGTTTTTTAAGAACGACTAAATATTGCATCTTTTTTTACTATGTTTATTTCAGGTCTTAGAAAAGTGCTTCAAAATTTCATTTTGCATTTTACTTCACTTATGATTATTATTAAAAATTCATAATAAGAATGAACAATTTCATAAGAACAAAATTATACTTCCATAAGAATAAAAACTTGGCAAACAAGATGCTAAGAAATGTTATACATTGCATCTAGTGTCATGGGAAATAATTGGAACCAGAATTTGTCTCCTTTGCTAATCGTGAAAAATAAGTATTGGATTGGCCAAAGATTTTTACATTTTTTTTTTTTTTTTATAACTCACTTCATTCCAAAAAGATCACTTTTGTATTGTGACAACTGTCATAAGTGCATTTTTTAAAAAGCACTTATCAAAATAATTGTATTTTTAATATTAAAAATGTAAGAAAATAAATATTTATCAGTATATTATGCAACTCAAATGTCCTTATCACCTCAAGAAAGGTGAAGTGATTTGCAATGTTGTGGCAAAAAATAGAAATCTTCCCATAGCAGACAACCAAACTCAGTTATCAGGTTTCTTTAATTAAAAGAAAAAAAAGAGTTTATCAAACCTTGAGATATGCCCATGATTGATCAAACAAAATTTGCAAGAGCTGCTAGGCTCTAAGAGAAAGAATCTGGGTTTGCCCATTTGGCAGATACTAAAGGCAACATGTGGCCATTTTGTTAAGCAAAATAAACCAATATATTCTTCTTTGCTACAAAAGGTTCCCTGCTGAAGATTTCATACTGAAGAATATTCCATGATCAGAAGGCTCAAAAGGAGGCGTTACTTGAGTATCATCAATGTTATATGATGCAGGAAATAGTCAACATATTCTAAACATCCATATCAAGAAAATCATTTATCTCAGATTTGATGTATGACTTCTTTTTTAATTAAAGGAAAGAAACAGATCGAAACATATTTCCATGTGATATGTTACTTCGATGTAATGAATGAAGAAGACAATATAGAATGCAAGAGATTACAGGACAAGTGAAATGAACCACCATTAACCAAGCCAAAGACCAGTTGTCATCCAAAAATCGGGCTGAATATATGAGAGGAGAAAACTATTTTCTAATACTGAGTTAATATATGGTTCTAACAAGTACTTTTGAACAGTTGAAGACAACAATTAATGTAAAACACACAAAATTAATTAAAACAAAGAGAGTAATATTCCATAAAGATGAAACTAATTATTCTTTTCTTTGATGACTGGAAAAGGTACCTAGAGCAATTCCTTCTCCAAAAAGACAAAAATTTAGTTCTGACAGATATAAATTATGAGCAGTTGTTCTCCAAGATGGTCAAAAATTTATTCTGACAGAATGCTAAATATATTGTCTGAAAGATGGTCAAAGATATTGGAACAAAATGCTAAATATATTGTTCAATAAAGCCATCTCAAAATTAAACAATTTGTCTTAATTTTACTTAATAAGCTGAATAAATTTTGGGACCATTCCAAACACAGGAGAGAGAGAGAGAGAGAGAGAGAGAGAAAAAAAAAAAAAAAAAAAAAAAGAGAAAGACCATTTAGTCTTAAAAACGAAAAAAACAGTGAGACAACTGTTATGAAATAGAGTAATCTCTGGAATAGACATTGTCAGATCAACAGATGGTAGCTTGACTGGTATTCACTGTGGCATTCTGCTTTTACAGCAGCATCTAATTTACATACAATACCACAACAAAAATGTTTAAAATTCTAATGAACTCAAATAATTTTTTTTTCAGAATGTCTTTAATTCAAATAAATCTCCATGAGGAGAGTAAATACTGAATTGACAGTTCAACAATGTTCATCATTCTCATTAAAAACACAGATCAAAATTTGAAAAACTTTGTCAGCATTTCTGTAAACACAAATAAACCTTATGTTATTATTTATCAACTTTAAACTTTTTTCACTGATATTCTAAGCACTTACCACAATGTTTTGAGCTGCTTTGTAGGCTTCAACCAAGTTGACAGAACGTCCCAGCACAAGATAAAGCAATCCACTTTCTTCATTGATCATCATACTAAAAGATAAAAAAAAAAAAAATAAAAATTCTATTAAAAGCTAAATTACATGAAATCAATTGTAGATTATTTGAATATTACAAAATAAAATTTTCAAACAAAAACTGCAAATAATCTAATATTAACATCAAGTGATGTCAACAGGAATGCAAAGAACAATTATAACTCTTGTATACATGCTGTTATTCAACTCCTCTAGGTTCTACCAGTGAAGATATCACAAAGAGACCCATGAACATGATTGGCTTTCTTGTTGGCAACAGATATCAGTGAAGTTTAATTTTGGGTGTCTATGGAATTTACTTCAATATTACAAACTTCCATACCAAAATGAGTGCAATGTGGGTAGAGAAAGTACTGTCTTTCAAGAAAGACATTCTCCCTATAACATACCACTCTCTGAGATGGAAACGGTGTTTATTGCCTTTCTTTGAACACTAACAAATATTGTGGCCTCTTTTTTTTGTGCATTGCATATACTATTAACTTTTCTTTGAACTGGTTTTGGTTCACAATACCACACCTGCTTCCAGTGGGTTGAGAGATCACCAATTGGTATTGAGAAAGTATCAGCTTGCTTATATTTTTAAAAAGCTGGATATTTTTCCAATTTCCATCTTCTAATACATGGGCTTAGCTGTCTCAGCCTATTTGGGGGATATCGCACAAATACCATTATATGGACATGAAGTATTCTTTTAAATTGAAAATTAAACATAAGTGACAATATTTTTCAACCTCTTTTTTAATTTTAATTTCATCAATCCTAATTCTAAATATTGGTTGAAATTTCTGGACTTGGTTATCTGTTTAATATCATTCCTTTCCAATTCTATCTTTCTCTATTTCCAACTTCTCTTTATTGTTTTAATAGTCTCCTTATCGGTTAGTGGTATTTGAGAAGATTGAAGGGTGGAGAAACACATTCAGGATTTATGCTGAATACATCCCAAATCACCTGTTATTTAACTAAACTAGCTGCATGGTTACTAATACTAGCTTGTAAAATCCTCTAAAGAGTGTAGATGGGTGAGCATATCACAAATCAACTAAAATTACAAAATAGATTTAAGTTCATCAGATTAATATTCACAAGCATATATCACTTGAAGTTAGTGTTTTCAGGAAAATAAAGCTGACATTAAGAATTCTACTAATACAAATTACTACAGTTCTTTTAATTCTATTAAAAGCCAAACATTAAACTAACAGTTTATCTCTAATTTTCCATGCTTATTCCCAATAGGGAAAAATTACAAACAAAACCTTTCAATATTTAAGCAAAATAAACATTACACTATAATATTTTAAAAGTAGTTTCTATTTGTCCTGTAAACTTCAAGTGCAGTATAGAGAGCCACAGCTTTGACAGGTTAAGCGTTGTTGTGATTTCCATAGAATTTCACAGGATTGACTTGCTAGCTATATGCCCAAACTTTTTTGAATTCAGAGTTGCCTTTTCCTAGACTGCTTGTCAATCAAAGATGAAGAGCTCAGTCTTCCCTACTATTTAACCCATAGCTGGTGAGAGAAGAGATCAATTCATATTTTTAACTAATATTTGTGTAAAGGTAAATGTTACAGATTTAACTGGAATACAACTCAGCTTGTTAATTTCTAGTTTTATTACACTACCTACACACTGAACATGTATGTTATAAAAACCCAAAACACAGAAATTTTGCACTAAAAGAGGTCACCTGTAACTGTAGGAAAAACCAAGGCCTCTGATTTGTCTCCACATAGGTCCCTCACACTGAGTCAAGTACTGGAGCAGCACCATCAATGCAGGCAGGTCTGGGTCATGATAGGCAGCAATGGAAGGTACAGCCAAGTATAGGTATGCAGATTCTTCTGATCCAATGCCAACAATCACGCGTTTTGGCAACACCCCATCAACAGACAACACATAATCTGATGTACGCCTTAAAAATTCTCTGAAAGAAGAAAAAAAAAAAAACTTTAAGACTTGTTACATTTTTATGTAAATAAAAACATTTAAATGAAATTAGGAATAAAAAGATATTTTGATAGCTGAAGACATGAATTTTTGAAAACGAGATTTAAAAAGACACCGTTTAAATGCCGGCATTTGGTAAAAAAAATTAATAAAGTGAACACAAAATATTTTTCTACCTGCAACATTTACAAACCTGGACAGAGCAGCTCATAAGTAACAAATGTGGTTGAAAAAGTTTTGTCTAAGTACCGTCAGATCAAGTGATTGAACAGACAATAAGGACCAAAAGGGTTCTGGAAGAATTGTAGGTTTCAGTACTTTGGAGAGTACTGTGCAACGCTGGATTGCATCCAGTCATGTCATCTCACGTAGGTGACTTTCAGCAATCTATTGAACTACTTTCTACAGACAACAAACCTAAAGGCATTCTACCGTCACGCTTGAAGCTTGATGAAGAGAAAGTGAAGTCTAACTATGACTTACTTATGTCATGGGGAAACCTATTCAAATCAAATGAATCAGTTTCTACACTGTGTGGAGGATCACAGGTTGGTGATTGAGTGCGACACGATTTGCTTAAGGCTGAAGAAATTGGAAAAACTCAAGATGCAAGAGTTTATTGCAGAGCGAACTGAATCAAATGCAAAATTCATTTATGCTCCAATTCAAAAGAACAAGCTGCAAATGTTTTTCAGCTTAAGAGTCAGCAAGCAAATGAAAGTCAGTGGCACAATAGTGACAGTGCAATCAAGCTATCAAGTTTTCTCTTGGTTCATGGTCACTCAGTCACAACAAGTCAGTATAAGAGTTATTGTTGAGTCTGAACTTAGGCCAGTTCCATGGGCCCTTGCAAAGCCCAATGGAGAAATGTGTAGCATCCCTAAAAGCAAGGTCATCAAAGTGATAAAAAGTGAGGTTTCATTGGTCAGCAGTTTACCCAAGAACACTGTAACAGTTTTTGATGCAATGGTTATCAAAACATTTGGTGATGTGTCAGATCAGCTGCTTAGTACCATCACAAAACAGTCATCACAAGTAGTCTTTTTCATCAACGATCACTATGACTGTTTCTGTAAAAAGCCTGGAAAGAGGAGCAAGAGTCCAATCTGGTCAAATCCTGCAAGACACAGATCAGAAAGTCCCAGTGAATTTCAAAACATTTCTGTGTAACTCAAGAGAATAAGCTGGAGATGATGGATTTCCTTCTTCATGATTGGTCAACATCACTACATTCTGTTGATTACATCAAAGAAAAGCAATTTTTTTGTGAGTGTGAGAAGTGATGCTTATAGGATTTTCTGCAGAAACGAACTAAAATCTATTGAAAACACACCCATGATCTGCTCTAACCAAGAGGCGGATGCTAAAATGTTTTTCTGTGCTGCTTTCACATTGACACTTGGCTTCAATTCAGTTTGCATTGTTACTGTGGACACCAATGTTTTGGATCTTGGCTGCTATTATCCTGGCAAGCTAGATGGAAAACTTTTCATTAAACTGTTGACAAAGCTCGGGTGCATCTTTGACTTCAGTGAGCATAAATTTGATGTGAGGCACTTCCTGGATACCACAGTTACAGGATGTTACTACACAAGTTCTTACCATGGTTTTGGGAAATTGAAAGGACTGAAGCTCATAAAAGAGAGTGAATCACTTCAAGATGCATTCATCTTGCTTGGTACGGAAAACAATGTATGCAGTGCCTGCCAAGACGTTCTTGAGGAGTTTGTTTGCCACCTGTATGATGTCAAAACTGTGACCACTGTCAACAAAGCTATCAGATGTTTTGTGGCAAAAACAAAAGCTACCACCTACAAGTGACAGTGTCACTTCACCTTGACAGAGCAAATTTTCTAGCCTGAGTGTGGGAACTGTCACTGGAAATGAATGCAAAGAAGCTGAGCCCAACAGAACACAGCTGGAGGATGGGTGACAACGACAACCTCCAAATTCATTGGATGACAAAAACCTACACCAGATTCTTTACTGGAATGTATCTCATGCAACTGAAAATCTGGATCCTGCTCAACACGATGTTGCCATTTGAACAGTCTGAGATGTACAGATGTTTGTGGATGTGCAAATTGTGAAAACGCCATGATGGATGTTGACGAGGAGGAGGACTGTGACACTGATGACGAAAGTGACAGTGATATGGAGTGAACTGTTTGTCATATTAGGACAACTGAGTTAATTTTTGTTTACATGTGAATGTGGCTTTTTCCTATATCCATTTTCTTCCTATAGAATCAAGATATTTTACTGACTTTGGCCAGATAACTTAAATGACTACAAGAGAGAATTTTTTATATCTTTAAATCAACCAAAGAAACTAAGTTTAGTTGATAAGTATAAGTCCCTACATCTACAACACACCAATAATGCAAAAGTAAAAAAAAAAAATTCTTAAATTACAAACTTTACCAAAAATCTGGCCAGTAAATTATCAAAAGTGGTGAACCAAACTTTCATTTGACTCTGTTTATTAGTTTTACATTATCTAGATGCATTTGACACAGCCAAAAAGATTCATCGAAATTGAATGGAAAGGCACTCAAGTAGCACAAAGAGGTTTTCAAACATCATTGGTTAGTATATTCTGGTCAGCAAAATACACATAAATCAGTCTGTAGAGGAAGTCCAACAAGTGGTTCAAAAACTAGAGATACTGCCCTATCATGTAGTAGAGGTGAAAATTTGTCCCCCACATCATCTGATTTTGTCTCTCAGCTCCATGACTATAAAAAGTAAAAAATCATTTGCATCATAGGAACTAGGAACCCTGTCATTTGTAATTATTTCTTGCCTACAATATATACATAAGGAGAGAGAGAGAGAGAGAGAGAGAGAGAGAGAGAGAGAGCCTGAGCACATACAGTGTGCGGCAGAAATACCTCCCATATAATTGTAAGAAAGCTAGATGAAGACACCATCGCCACTAATGTCTTACTATTATGTGGGAGCTATTTCTGCTGCAACCTGTATATGCATGTTTAAAATTTGTTATATTCATGGGGAAAGAGTGCTCAATACCAGAGAGAGTTTGTAGATGTAGACAATGTGGACATAAGAATCAACATTGCATGATTAATGGCAATTTCAAGCCTTACATGATCAAGAAACCATACGTCTGATGATCGATTAAAGCTTGAAACTGTCAGTCACCTCAAGTGTTAATTTCTATGTCCACACTGTTTACATAGATGTGAAAAATGTAGACATATACTTAGACAGACTAGAAAAATGTTAAAAATAAAGCTCCTTCTATGCTTAGCATAACATTGCAATAATAATCTATATAATAAATGCGAATGTCAGTGTGTCACACTTTTTCAACTTTACTCCTAGAGGTCATAGGACAACATATATTTTGGAATCAGGGCGTCTTTGTGAGAAAATTAAAAACATTTCAGGCCAGATCCGGACCCGCAATCCTGAAATTTTGAATTCCCAAATTTTCATTACTGCAAATTGCTTTCAGTCACTTTTGTGACAAATTTTTTGGTATGATAACAATTTTTATGGAAAAATGGAAATAAATTTGTGAATAATTGAAATTGTGAAATCCTGAGAAAGTCACCCATGAAATAAAAAATAATTGTTTGTACAAAAAGTAAGGACCTACATACATGAAATTCTCTTTAAATTACATGGCAGCAGAAGAATTATCATTGAACTTTTAAAAGGTAAGCTTAAATATTAATGCAATACTTAAATGCAGTGATCAATTTTTAGTTCTTCTGTAATTTATTGTTGCCTATCACATCTACTCCACTCTACCTATTGTGATGAGGGTCCAATCAAGAGCCCTCCAGAGAAGCTAGCTTTTAAATGCCACCCAATAAGGTGGATTTTAAGCTAGTCATTTAATAACATTGCAATAATAATCACTTGATAAATAAAGAAAATCAAAAAATATATAAAGAGTAGCTAAGAACAATATGAAATTGTGGGTGTGTATAGAGAAATAGATGCTGTGTGTGTGTATATATATATATATATATATATATATATATATATATAAAATAAAATGGAATATGTTGGTTGCATGGCTCAAATAATTGCAGATATATGATGTTAGAAAAGTCTGAAATTTTATTTTTGTTTCTTTTAGCTGACTTTTAGGACTGTGAATAATTTTAATATAATAAAAAAAGGGTTGCAGTTTGAATAGACTTACTTGGATTTGTCACTACAAACTCCGGCACTTTCTGGAAGGAAATGAACCCATGGTTTTTCAAGAGGAATGTCTGCAGACAAATTTTTCAGATTTGCAGCCATATGAACACACAAGTTGTCGGCTTTAGTAAGCAAAGTGCGCAATTTTTCCATCTTGTTTATCACCTGCACAAACAATAAAAAAAAGAAAGACTCAAGTCACTATACGTATTTTTTGTGTTTTAAAAGACCAATATATCTAGTTATTTTGACAAATAATTTATAGACAAGTGGAGATGATATTTTTAAAACATTCATTTTTAGAGGGGAAAAATTAAATGAATTATCTTTAAAAGCTAGTGAGAGAAAATACCACATAATGATGCCTAGATAAGAAAAGAAAAAATGTTTTCAACTTACTGAGCTTGGGTCTGATTCTAACTGGACAAGGAGGCCAGTTAGAAATTTGTGCTGCCTTAGCATACCATTTACATGAATGTTGCAATCTACAAAGATAAATGAACAAATATTTTCATTTGGAGGAAAATATTAAACATTTAGTACATCTATTCTACAAAACATTTTTATTAGTATCATTTTGTACAGTATGTACCTGATGAATTATGTCTGGTCCATATTTTTTATATAAAAATGTTCAGTTATGAGGAGAGGATAAAAATAAGGAGTTTAAAAGACAAAATAAAAGTCAGATTTTCCTATGAAATCATAATTAATACAGAATTTTGTGGTCTAACAATTTTTTAATATTTTTACTCTTGTAATGTTAAAATAAATATTTTTTTCTCCATTTTTATAACAAAAACATTTATCTTAATTCCCTAATCTCCTGAGATTTTTTTCTACCAACAATTGGCCATAAAATGCCGACACATTTTACCTTTACTGTAAATCAGATTGTAAAGCACAGTTCTTGCAACGGCAGCACCATGTCTTTTTAACATTGGCACATCATTAATGAATTTGGTTGCAGCAATTTTCAACCTCTCCTCAGTGAATTGAACTTGGTACAGGATTTCTTTCAGCCATTGAATACCTTTGTGGTACTTCTCACATTGAACCTAAAAATGAAAAAGCAAATTAAAGAACTTTACTTGCAAAGTACAAAAGATTATGTAATGAATCAAAAAAAGAAAATAATGATTAAAGTTATAAAAGCAGAGACATATTTATAAAGCAAGAAAAATGACAGTGACAAAAGATAATCCCCATAAATGGCAGTACAAAGCAGACAAGAAAAACAAAAATTGAGTATGCATATTATATACGTGTGTGTGTGTGTGCAAATAAAAAAAAAAAGGGGGTGGAGACAATAAAATTTTTTATAAAGCTGACCAGTTCTCCTTCAAGGAAATAAGTTGTGCACTACAACTGAAATAAGGGGAGAAATAAATTTCCACACTGAGAAGAATAAATACACACACACACATATATATATATTAAAAGCCAATCACATTGAGACGCAACAACCATCCCTTCTGTTTGCACAAAGAAGGTTGCACATATTTGATGGTCTCCAAAACTTTCAAATGAAAGTTGGAATGCAAACACCTCAACCTCCCCCCACACCCTTATTAAAATGGGTCAGGATGAACCTAGGAACAAGTGCAGACCTCTTTTTTTACATTTATATAGAAGTCTGTTTTAAAAGGTTTAATTAAATTCTGTACAATCAAAAACACTTTAAATAATGATTAACTCAATATAACAGTCATTACATGAATCCAAACATTCTTAGAAATTCTATAATGAAAAAGCAAAAGTTTCAACTGCTTTTCCATAAAATAAAATGTGATCAATTTTGAATTAATTTTGTTTTATTCTTTGACATGAAAAATAAGACAAATACCCCCCCCAAAAAAAAACAAAACAAAAAAAACATCACAGTTGTTGTTACAAAAATCACAACAGAAAGTCAATATTTTCAGGCATTTATGGCCAATTTTAAAACTGGAGTTATCACAAAAAACAATGAACTCTCGTCTATAGATTTATGCCTTACTCCAATTACAAAAATAATTGTGACAGTATCAATCATAAAAACAAAATGTATAAAAAGATAAACCCTTTAAATTATGTCTAGTGTTTTCCAGTTATACAAAATGATTCTCAAGGTACCACCACCTAGAGCATACCTTTAGTGATATTAAGACAGTCTGTGGGAAGCCACCACAGAAGAATTTTGAGCCTTCCAATCCAAGACTTGCATGATTCTCTAACGTGTCAGCCTGAAGTTGAGCAATCACCTTTTCACGAGGAATTATAACTGAAGGGAAAAATGATCTTGATTGATAAAAGCAATTAAATCATTTTCATTCTTATTTCAAAAGTATCATTTTATTCAATGTCTTACAAACAGCAATTACTTAAAATCAATTCAGCAATAGTTATGAAAGCAAGAGTTTTACATTTCATGTGCAATGCACTTAATTCATGTATATAAGACAAAACCAAATGAAAAAAAAACAAAAGTCTCAATTATTGGCATACTTGCAACTCAGATAAATCATTCAATAACGTGGTATAAATAAAATCTATTAAACATTAAATAGTCTTTACATTAGATGTACTAAATTTGCTAGCCTGATACCTACTTAGAAAAAATAAAAGAGGCAAACATGGATAAATGTGCCCGCAATAAGACAAAATGTCAAAAGGACAGTTTTTTTCCCCACCCCCCACACATGACATCGCTTTTTTAACTGCCTCCCCTCTTCAGCAATGTATATTGTTTTAAAAAGTGATGACTAGAATTATAATAAAATCAAAACATATGAAAGTGAATTTATATATATTCTTTGTTATTGAGAATTGACAATAAAAATAATAAACCCTATTTATTTATTAGATTGTTTATTTACACTATTATGTTATTTATTGGAATGGTTGGACAAATATTGGCTAATTGCCAATTGATTCAAACTTTATAAAAATGGTAAATAATAAGGATTTCTTTTATAGTTGGTTCACATTTTAATAAATGTCTATAAATTTATGAATAAAAAAAATTTTCATATTTATTTCTTTATAAATTGGTAAATGATAAATATTGTATTAGTTTTTAGAATGTTGTAAATATAAAATTATTCTTGTAAATAAACAATCTAATAAATAGTGTTTAATTAGGTACTTTCATGAGATTGCTATAAAAAAAAAAAAAAAGAGCATAGTCTGATGAAAAAGACACCAAACTTGATGAAAACAAAATTTTATCATCTAAATGTTTATGTTATTATTAAGAGGAAAGACCAAAGTATTTCTTTTAATTATTTTAAAAAATTTTTCCTTCTTTTTAGAACATTCTAAATTTTGATTAAAAAAAAAAAAAAAAAAAAATTAACCCCCCCCAAAAAACTTTGTTTCTCTTTGTATCACTGAAAATAGTAAAATAACAAATTTTTAGCACATTTTTTTTGTACGACACACATTAATTTGAAAAATCTTGTAAAAATAAAAATAATTGTCGGATGTTAATGAAACTTTCAGAAACTATTCACAAATGATGGAAATTATTATAAATGTTTTCTTTTTTAAAGTCATGGCAAAAATATTTATTACCCCCCGCAACTAATTTTATGAAAACTCTAGAAATTCAATTGCATTCAGTTTAGTGATTATATTAGTTAAAAGCACAAGGCTTTGAGGAAAACAAATCATGTATTTTTTTTAATTGCCCCTCCCCACCTGAAAATCAGCTCTGAATTGTAACATACAAAACTCAATAAAACAAAAGATATTATTTAATTTCAAATGCTTTTATTTGCTTTTAGCCGTTTCAAATGCTGTTATTAGCTTTTAGATCTTTACATTTATGTTGTTAAAATATTATAAAATTAGTTGAAAACCACATTCAGTTTTGTAAATGTCCTTTTTACCACATTGTAAATTGTATAATTTCGACCAATCAGAAGACCCGCAGTAATTAAGAAATGTAATTTTGTGTTTATAATACGGCTGTAATTATAAAAATACGGAAGACCAGCAAGATTAAGTTGCGTTATTTGAGTTAAACATTGTTCTCCGCTGTTAAGGCTTTTATTTTTGCGAAACACGTGGAGAAGTTAATTCGATTTTTCAATTTCAACTGAGAAAGGTACCTACAAGTATTAGTATCATCTTATGAAATTTATATGATCTTATTTTTATATTAATCTCAGTTATGACATTTCTGCATAAATGAAATATCAAAATTAATAATAAAATGAATAGAAATACAAATAACACAGAAAAATGTAATAAATGTACATAAAATTATAATATTATATGTACACTTCTGATAAAATTTCATAAGTACCTATAAATTAATTAAATACCTTTCTTATGAAATTTAATCTCACTCTCAACAGTCTTATTTTAATTTCTTTATAATATATTTTCCATAAAGCATTGTAAACATAACAGTGAAAGGTAAGTACAAAAAAAAAAAAAAAATTAGAGCACTGAAACTTTTCCTTAAAAATAACAAGGTAAATAATTTGTTCACTTAAATCTAAATAATTGTATCACATCTGTCCTACCGTACGATAAGTTCTCCTCACATAAACTGTCAATAGTAATGCGAAATGTTATGACCTGCTTTGTTTCATTTTTAAACTACTTCTTTTCGATGCAGAAACTAAGTAATGCTTGTTTCAAAATATTTTAAATAAACATAATTTTTAATTTTCTTAAGATTAGTTATGAAAAAAATTATAATTGATTTTTAAAAGAATTTGAAACTGAGATTTTCAATTTTTTTATAAAATGGAAAAACATGGTTGACATGATTATCTGTCAATTTTGCTGACTCAAAAAAAAAAAAAAAAAAAAAAAGATTTTTAATGAAAATTTCAGACGTGCTAGGAAAAATTAAAAAAAAATGTAAAAAACCAAAATACTTTGATTTTTCCTCTTTATAATAAATATTTAGATGATAAAATTTTGTTTTCATCAAGTTTGGCATCTTTTTCATCATGCTATGCTATCTTTTAACGATCTCATGAAGGTACCCATGTTTAATATTTTTGTTGCAAGTTCTCAAGAACAAAAAACATCACTTTCATCATGTTTAAATTTTATTCCAATTTTAATAATTGCTTTTTAAAACGACAAACATTGCTGAAGAGTGAAAGTCGTTAAAAAAAAAAAAAAAAGCAGTGTCATGAGAAAAAAAAAACACCCTTTTGACACTGTCTTATTGAGGACACATTTATCTATTTTTGCCAAAAAATATATGCAAATATTCCAGTGTCCAATTTATTGTTAGGGAGCTTGTCTACATAAGCTCTAAATACACAGCTAAAGTGATGGGGGAGTTGCAGTGAACAACAGTACAATCCCTGCACACACCCACCCAATACCCATATAATGCTTATAGGGCCAGGAAATACAGTATCCTTAGGAGTGTGTGTATACACACACACACACACACACACACAATTGTAATGTCCAAATTTTTCCGCATTACAAGTTCCTGTTTCCAATGCCTTTGGATAAACAGTTTAATCACTATTGAAATGTCAGCTAGTTACCAACGAATAAACACTGGGACAATCAGACACATAAATACAGATATGATTATAAAATAAGTAATTATTTATACTTACCACCATCTCGAAGAATAGGACTCTCAAACAACACCTCAAGATAAAGAGGTAAGTAGTACCTCAGATCCATAGGAATATCAACAGAATCCATTAAAACCATCATCTATAAAACAATGAAGATAAAGAGACAAGCATAAATTAGAATAATTATAAATGAAAGTTTTCTTGCACAATGATCTTAGATTGAAGAAAAAAAAAAGAAAAAAACAATCGCAAATGGAACAAAGACTTAAGATTCAATTAGCCAAAAAGGAAATAAATTTAAAAAAAAAAAAAAAAAAAAAAAATGATAGGAAATACAAGATAACATTCAATGAATGTGACTAAGCAATTACAGATTTTACAAGATTAATTATTCACCAATTGTTCCAAAAAGGTTACACAAAAATCCCCTTCACTACTGAAGTGGAAGGAGAGGGAGAAAGAAAGAAATAAAAGAAAAATAAGTTTGCATCTTTTAAATTGTGTTGAGATTTAAAAGAAAAATTTTCAGGTAAAACTGATACTGTGGATAATATGATAGAGTCGTTTAAATTTCTATTACTCAAACTGCTCTATAAAAAATTATATTTTTGTTAGTTTCTCTGAGATCAGAGGTATAGTACTAACCTAATCGTTGGCCCTTCTGAGTTGGAGTCAGTTATGCTTTCTGACCAAGAAAACTGCATAATATTAAGTGTGAAGAAAATAGGAAAGGCAAACGAGAGAAAAACATAGAAAAGGGTATAAAGAAGGAAAAGTCAGAGATAAGAAAGCCAAACAAAAAGAAAATCAAGTGAAAGGAAAAAATAAAATATATATATATATATATATATAAAAATGTATGTTCTGTGAATAATATGAATCAATTATGTAAGCAGTTGTATGCTTAGTCAAAAATTGTCAAGCATGGATAAACGTGACAGCAAAAAGACAGTGTCAAAAGAAGTTTTCCCCATGTCACCACTTGTATTTTTTTAACTCTTTTCACTCTTCATATTTGTTTTAAAAAAGCAATGTTTAAAATTGGAAGAAAACCTAAAAATATGAAGAAAATGAATTTATACATTTTTTGTTCTTGAGAACTTACAACAAAAATATCAAACACTATTAGATTGTTTATTTACAAGAATAATTTTACATTTACATTTTAAAAACTAATACAATTAGAACTAATGCAATATTTATCATTTAACAATTTATAAGGAAATAAATGTGAAAACAAATCTTATTCATAAATTTATAAACATTTATGAAATTATGTGAACCAACTATAAAGGAAATCCTTATTATTTACCATTTTATAAAATTTGAATCCATTGGTAATTAACCATTTTTGGCCAACCATTCTAATAAACAATCTAATAAATAAATAATGTTTATTATTTTTGTTGTCAATTCTCAAGAACAAAGAAAATGTATAAATTCACTTTTATGTTTAGGTTTTATTACAATTCTAAATCATTGCTTTTTAAAACAAACATTGCCAAAGAGTGAAGGCACTTAAAAAAGTGATGTCATGGGAAAAACTGTCCTTTTGACACATTGTCTTATTGCAGGCACATTTGTGAAAAAAATCAATCATTTAATAAATATGTTATATCTTGTTGCAAAAAAAAAAAAAAAAGTTCATATTTTATTTCATGTAATATTGCACACAAATGTTAATTTAACATGTTGTGGACAGATAATATAATCCCAGATAAAGATAACAAAATCAAGAAAACTACCACAACACATCCAAAAAACCTATTAGAGAAGAGGTTTCAGTATAATGGTCATCAATGTGTACCTGGACAAAATTAGTATGCAAGTCATCAAGCTGAAATTTGAAAGGAATTTCATCAATAGGAAATCTGTCTGACTTTTCAACATCTTTATTCTTATAGTTGCAATATGGCTTCAAAGGATGGAACTGAATGAGGCCAACATCAGGGACAGGAAGGCTTCTTAGGATATCATCAGATGGCTTTATCTGGAGAAGACAAAACAGTGAAAAGGAGAAAAATATTATAAAACAGAATGCCATTTCCATTCTCTAATATGCAAAGCTTAAAAACTATTAAAACATTCAATTAAGTTATAACAATAAAGTAGAATTTATACACTTTAAGGAAAATCTAAATGAACTCAATTGAGGGCTTCTTTTGACAATATAATTTCTTTTTGGTTCAATAATTCACTCATGCCAAATGCAAGTAATAAGTAAATACATCATCATTAACATAATTATCGGGGGGGGGGGGGCTACCAATAGGAGTGTAAACAGCACAAATATGTTCATCAATTCAGTTTTGGTTTATTTCGTTTTATGGCATATCAACTTAAATGGTGTTGTAACCTAGGGAAGGTTACTGAATAGAATAATCGCACAAAGGTTGGTAATAAACGATAATACTTAGGACAAGAACAACACACATAAGATTTTCCAGCAGTACATAGTAGTAGTCAACTGCTAGAAGTGAGTCAAGTGAACAATGAATCTCCAACTGCAGACCAACATACAGTATTTACTACTGTATTTATATGAATGGGGACATACACATTATCATCCGTAGGTATGCTAGTTCGTATAAATAGAATATGTATTGATATTTTTTTTTTCATAAATGTATTACTGGTATTTTTAGTAAAAAAAATCTATTTTTATACTTTCACAGTGTTTTGACCACAGTTTGGAAGTTAACTATTTACCCATAGCTGGGACCCTAACAGGTGCTACTACCCCAGGACATAGTGGACCTGGGAACAGCAGTAAATTAAAAGGTGGTTACATGCCCAAAACCTTCATTGATTCAGTTGAAATGAAATGACATTAAGAGGATTAGCTTATCTTTTCTTTCTCTCTCTTTTTTTTTTTTTTTTAAATAACTTTTAAGTTATATAGACAGGGACAATATATAGAGAAATTTCCTTCTTTCAGATATTCTTACTAATGACTTGAGAGAATCCAAAGTAGAAACAGCAATACAATACCAAAAGTTAATTAGAAAGAAAATTAACAGAATAATCCTAAGGTTATGCAAGAGGGGTACATTTTACATCAATATCTTAATACGACATACAAAGGTCAGCTGAAATGTTCATAGGCTGACCACAATATAACTGTAAGTAGATAAATCAGATGGGAGACTAAAAGACATGCAAGTGTACTAGAATACAACAGCCTAGAAACTTTTCAGCCAATCCTCGTAGAACAGAGTAGATGGAAGACAGAATTGTCATATAATGCAGTAAACTAAGTGTCTAAACAATGAACAAAACTGTTCATGTGCTAACCTCTTCCCAAATTAAGCAAAGAAAAACAGACTTGTCTGCAACTGTAGTAAGCTGTACTAGTAAAAATTAAAGAGAAAGTCTGAATATGAGTGAAAGAGAAAACAAAATGGATCAACTGTAGTTTACTAATTTCTAAACAATAATAATGACCAAAACAATGTTGCTTTATCCACGTTGCCCTTTCTATATCAGATAAGGAAAGGAAAGGGGAAAAAAGAAGAGGGAAAGGGAAGAGGAAAGGAAAGACGAGGGAAAGAGAAAGGAAAGACGAGGGAAAGAGAAAGGAAAGAAGAGGGAAAGAGAAAGGAAAGAAGAGGGAAAGAGAAAGTTACTTCATTCTCTTTGTTGGCATTCTTTAGTGCTTCCTCCTTTTGCTTAAGACCCTCTTCTCCAAGGGCTTCCTTCTGCTTTTTCAAACGCTCTTTCTCGGCCTCAGCCATTGTTTGCATTAGGGCTATACTAGGAGAACCAGTTATCTAAAAAAAGAATTAAAATTTTTATTATTACACATATTTGTTGACAGTGATTGGCAATTTCACAAAATAATCACAAGAGACGATTTACTTAGGTTTGTTAGTTTGTGAACAAGTTTTTCTCAATATTTAGTGAAATAAATAATTTAAGGTTTAACTACAATAAACTATACAAGATTTTATTAAGTTACATTATTACTGCTACATTATAGTATTTTTTTCTTTTTTTAATCGTTAAAATAACTTACAGCAACATATGGCTTCCCGATACAATAAGTCTTGAGCAAATTCACCCAGTAATCTTCTTCTTCTTTTTCCAACATCTCATAACATGACAGTGGGTTGGTACGCACATCAAGCTAAAACAGAAAACACAAAAACTGAACTATGATTTTACAGTTTGTATACAGTGACTGAGAGACACTTAACTGTTTTCTAGAAGTGTCTATTGCACCCCTCCCCACCCAATAACACAATCTTTATTTTTCTTTGGTTTTATTTGAACTCAGTAAACATGATATTGCACATTTGAACAAAAGATTATGTTTAGTAAATTAAAGAAACTTTCAGCTAAAAGCTTTTTTTTTTTTTTTTTATTATTCAACTTCAATAAAGAACTCTAAAATGTAACTCTGATGCTATAGGAAAGACATTGTCTATTTTATTAGCATACAGCATTGTGTTAATTTAGACTATAAACAATCAACTACAATGTAAACAGCCATGACTAAAATTATATAAAAAAAAACAGATTGATATATTTTTATTATATTCAAAAATAAAGTGAATGTCAGCATAGTAACCATCTTCATTTTAATAGATCAAAAAAAATGTGTACATGCATGTGTGTACACAAACATGGATCAATAAGTCTGACACATGCTACTTTGATCTGAACATTTCACTGTATAACGTTCAAAGAGTCTGCCACTCATCTACTCAAATATTTGATAAAAGGCTGAAAATTGAAATTATTTGTGAAATGCTTGAACAAAAGCTAATACATAAACTTCAATGGATTTCCAGGTCAAGCCAAGATTCTGGATCATGTGAGCCTAGAATCTCTCATCCTTTAAAAAAAATAAAAATAAAAGTTAAAATAAAAAAAAAAAAAAAAAATAAAAAAAAAAAATTAAAAATAAAAAAAAAAAAAAAAATAAAAAAATAAAAGTTAAAATAAAAAAAAAAAAGTTAAAATAAAAAAAAAAAAGTTAAAATAAAAAAAAATAAAATAAAAAAAATAAAAAACAAAAAAAAAAGTAAAAATAAAAAAAAGTTAAAAAAAAAGTAAAAATAAAAATAAAAAAATAAAAGTAAAAATAAAATAAAATAAAATAAAAGTAAAAAATAAAAATAAAAGTTAAAATAAAAGTAAAAATAAAAAAATAAAAGTTAAAATAAAAGTAAAAAAAAAATAAAAGTTAAAATAAAAGTAAAAATAAAATAAAAGTTAAAATAAAAGTAAAAAAATAAAAATAAAATAAAATAAAAAAATAAAAATAAAAGTTAAAATAAAAGTAAAAATAAAAATAAAAGTTAAAATAAAAGTAAAAAATAAAAATAAAAGTTAAAATAAAAGTAAAATAAAAATAAAAGTTAAAATAAAAAAAAAAAAAAAAAGTTAAAATAAAAAAAATAAAAATAAAAGTTAAAATAAAAAATAAAAAAATAAAAGTTAAAAAAAAAAATAAAAAAAAAATAAAAATAAAATAAAAAATAAAAGTTAAAATAAAAAAAAAAAAAATAAAAGTTAAAATAAAAAATAAAAAAAATAAAAAAAAAAAAGTTAAAAAAAAAAAAATAAAAAAAAAAAAATAAAAGTTAAAATAAAAAAAATAAAAAAATAAAAGTTAAAATAAAAAAATAAAAATAAAAAGTTAAAAATAAAAAAAATAAAAATAAAAGTTAAAATAAAAAATAAAAATAAAAGTTAAAATAAAAAAAAAAAATAAAAGTTAAAAAAAAAAAAAATAAAAATAAAAGTTAAAATAAAAAAAATAAAAATAAAAGTTAAAATAAAAAAAAATAAAAATAAAAGTTAAAATAAAAAAAAAAATAAAAGTTAAAAAAAAAAAATAAAAAAAATAAAAAATAAAAGTTAAAATAAAAAAATAAAAATAAAAGTTAAAATAAAAAAAATAAAAATAAAAGTTAAAATAAAAAAAATAAAAATAAAATAAAAAAAAAAAATAAAAATAAAAGTTAAAATAAAAAAAAACAAAATAAAAGTTAAAATAAAAAAAAAAAATAAAATAAAATAAAAAAAAAAAAGTTAAAATAAAATAAATAAAATAAAAGTTAAAATAAAAATAAATAAAATAAAAGTTAAAATAAAAATAAATAAAAGTTAAAATAAAAATAAAAATTAAAATAAAATAATAAAAATTGCTACATGGACATGTGTGATAAGTAAGCTGCCACTATGGTCTACATGAAAAGTGGGAGAGATGTTAACTATGCCGACTCCTGTGGTCCTAGCAAGGCTTGAACTCAAATAAGTTTGGCTAACAAATTTCTGAAGATATTAAGCTCCTTCTCAGCTCAATGGATGAGTTCTAAGCAGTAGCAGGCTTGTCTCCCTTCCTGTCAAAGTGGATTTAACTTTGAGGCATTATTTAAATTTACTGAAATTTCACTTCAGTGAATAATTTTCTATTCTCCAATTAAGTGAGCAAGATCCTGTTTTATCACATATTAATATTCATCACTGAATTAAGTGCAAGGACAAGGAAGGAGAATATGTAAAAAAAAAAAAAAAATTCATCGTGTAAAATAAATATATTTTTTTTTTATTCCTTAGATGATAGATTCACAGATATTCTCTAAAACCTGCAGAATAACTGCCTTTTATATTTTGTAATGAAAAGGTTTTTTAAAAAGTTTTAATGAAAATTAAAGTAAAAATTAAAACTACTAATAGCCTCTACATTTTTGAGGTGAGGTATCATATTTACACTGTTCAGACTGTTGTCCTCCTTGTTGCCATATTCAGGTTTCAGCTATTGTACACTCTGGCCTTCTTCAGGTGATTGGAATTTCAAAACAAACCCTTTATTTCATTCACCAGAGTAGATTGTTTTAGTTCCACATGCCATGCCTCTTCTGGATATCTCGGTTATTTTCTTTTAACTCAACTCTCCAAGACATTCCAATCACTTAGAGACAAAATAATTTCACTAATTTTGTCTTTATTAACATCTAGTAACTTATTTCAGTTAAGGGCGGATGTGATGTTTCAGGTACATAAGGCACTGCAAATATGTGAGTGAGTAGAGATTCTAATACAGTAATTTTATAAGAAATGATAGGTTTTCTGAGGACAGACAATGGAAATATAAGCTTATAAATGTCATTGTTTAACAGGTGAAAATATTCTTGTTACGTACATCTTCTTTGGTTTCTCCAAAGAGAAAATCTCCAATCAAAATGAATGCCAAGGTGTCATGAGGCTCGGTTTCAACCTGGAAGATAAGTTTTCAGTTCAATAAGAAAAAGGTCAAAAGCTTTTATTTCAATTAATAAACATTAAAACATTTCCTTCATTTAAACAGTTTCTTGTTCTTTTATTGTTGTCACTCTTTAATAAGGTTTTTCTTTTTCTTATTCTTTCACTCAGTAACCCCTTTGTGCCTTAGGGGCTTTACTGCCGTGTTTCGGGTGAAATGATTAAAAAAAAAAAAAAAAAAAAGAGAAAACATCTTTAATCAAAGATTATCTAAGTATCAACATCATATAAAATAAAGCAAGTAAATAACAATCATATTCACTAATTGCCTTTTATTAAATCATAAAATTTTTTGTATGAAGAATGATAGCTAATAGAAAAAAATGGCACAGGATAACCACAATCATTAATCTCAATACAACCATAGAAAATGGTCTTTCTTTATCTAAATTTTGTAAAAGTACTTTTACATCCCGATAACATGCACAAATTTATAATAATTAGGTTAAACAGAATCTTATTACATCCTTTCAAAAGGGAGATAACCATGCCAAATAATTGTTTAGATTCAAGGATGAATTTCTTCTTCCAATGGAAATTCATTATCGAAAATAACTGAAGGGTTTTAGTTTAAATGAACGAACTGCCGTAGAAATACAGAAATTCAGAAGCAGAAAAAAGTAATAAAATAAACAGTCTCAAAATGACATTTGTTACATTTGCCCTAGACATAAAACAACACCAAGAACCATACAGATCAATTAGCAAACAAACAATAAAAATAGCCTGAAAACATTGTTATGTTTATAAAGTAGCAATCAATAAAACTTATAATAAAAACTTGTTTCATCATTAAGTCATCTGTTCAATTGCTATCGAAATATAAGAAAATTAACAATTACTTACACTATTCAGTAAATCCAAAATTTTACGCTTAATCACGGTTCGCATTCTACTGATATCAATTTTCTCTTCTTTGGAAGCAATTTTTTCAAGAGTCTGCTTTAATCTAAATTAAAAAAGAAAGTGTTCAAAACAATGTAAATATAAGATTTTCTCAGAAAAAATAAAATAATAAAGTCAAAAAGTTTTAAATAAAGCAGAAAATAAAGCTACATTTTAGAATAACACTCAAATTATATGTTTGCCGAGTTCATACTATTGATGCAAAATTTGAAATAAACAGAAAATTTTATAATGGTTATACTTGTTCTGTTTATCTTGCATTCTGCCAGCTTTTTGTGTTATTCAACATGCATTAATTTGACCATAAGACATCATTTAAAAACAAAATATACAACAATGCAGTTAATTATATAAATTCTTTAACTACAAGGAAGAAAAACAATTTTGAACAAAGAGCCTAATCCAAATTAAAAATATCTATATGTAAGGCAACCATAAATTAACTATCACTTGTTTCTGATTTCCAACAGACAAGAAAAGCTTTATGGTGTAATTTGCAAATTTCTAATGATATATTAATGTCATTTAATTAAGACAGAAAGATGTTTAAAGGAACAAAAAAAAAAAAAGAAAAACATGCTAAATAATAAAAACATAAGCAGGCAAAATGTTTTGATGTTTTAAAATATTTAAAATAGGTTAATAAGTCAATAAGCTAAATGTGTGTGTGTGTGTGTGTGTGTGTGTGTGTTTTATACTCATTCAATATAGTTATTTAAAAAAAAACAAAAAACCTTCCACTGCAATTAACCTCACCTAGGAATAATGTCAGAGAGTTTATCCTTTGGTACACTTTGAAAATGGAGGTAGATGACAGTTTCTGTATTTTCAATAAGAGAGTGCTTCACCTAAAAACAAAAACATGCAAAACATTTCAAACATTCATATTTTGCTTCTATTAATTGAAAATAGGTAGAAATGGAGGTTCAATATTCATATAATTAACACTGCTAAGTACATCTCCAATGATGCCAAGATAATCTTTCAGCAACTGTGCCCTATAATTTTGTTGTAGATTTTAAATCCACTATACTGTTCAATAACTGGGCACAAAAATCATTTGCATAATTGAACTGTTGCATGCTGTGACAATTTTTCAAATTGGGAGATTTCATCTGTCTGCTTTAAAAAATCAGGATTAGTGATCCTGACCTTTAGCTAAGGTTGAACACTGATGCCTACAGCCAATGAAAAAGCCTAAACTCACCTACCACAGAGTTATTCTACAAGAATTTTACTTCTGTAAAAGATTAAATGTCATCGACAGATTCTGGTGTATAAATAATTTTTTTATTTTTACCAATTTTATTCCCGCTGTATCTGTCTATATTTCTACTCATAATTATTTGGGATATCAATAAAATATTGAGTAGATCATAAAAGGTGAAAAAAGAAAGTTTTAAAAGTTCAGTCGCTAAAAAAAAAGTACTCCATCTTAACCCATTAATGCACTAATCACAAAAATTAAAATAAAGATCAGGTATTAATTCAAAGTTGTTGTTTTTTATCTATAAATAATATAGGCATTAATTAATAGGTTAAATATCAAAGTGGAGCACACAAAAAACAAAAATCAAATTCAGTGATTAGACTAAAAACAAAACAGTTCTTCATAATTAAACTAAGTGATCAATTGCTGAACTATATTTTGCCAATTTATGTAATCCACAAATAAAAACACATTAGTAAAATGTATTTAGCGCCCACAAAGTTAAAAGACAAAAATTCATGACTGATCCTTCTACTCAAAAAACTGTTAAAAAAAAATCATTTTAAATTGAAATTAAAGACAAGTAGAATATTTTAATGACAAACCTGATTTATGCCATTTATAAAAGGAAGCAAATTCATATTAAAACATAATAAAAAGGTCAAAAATTAAAATTATGAATGAATATACTTAAATATCTTCAAATTCACTACAAAGATTGAAAAGGATAAGGTCAAGAGATAGTCTGAATGAATACATTTTGTTGCAGTTTAAAACTGTCTACTGTATTTTATCTACTTTATTCATTACTGTAGCCCAACTCCATGATAATATTTATTGAAACAATATTATTAGTGCTGCTATTAAAACTGATACTACTACCACCAGCAGTATATAAAAGAATTAGGGTAATAAAGTACCAGTAATATTCATTGATACCAGATGGTCAATCATATGTAATGTGTCAACGCACTCCTCTCCTTAACCAGCTCGGAACTACAGAAGAGACAAAAGAAAACTTGCTTTGAATTGATGTTGAAGAAAGAATAGGTTCCAAAATCTATAATCATTCCCCCCAACTAACACACTGCCAAAACAACTCTCCCCATTAACAAACAAAGGTGTTATTAAAGCTTTCGACAAGACATCAATGCTTGCAATTAGCCAGAAAAAACAAATTTGCATGCTTGTATCTATAATACTGACCTCATCTGTGTGGATAGTCTTTTTTTCTTTCTAGTAGCAGCATGCAACATGAGGACATTTTGATTGACAAGGTTAATCACTATTTCCCCTCTTCACAATTGGGCCAAATAAGAAACATGGATAAAGTCCCACTAATATTTGGTGGACCATCTAACAATGCACTAAGGATATTTTTCCTGAATATGCCCTGCTGAAATGTGTCATCATATGTCTGTGCCTATGTGCATCAAATACAGTATAAACAAGCCATTTACAATTTAAAGCAAGAGGAACAATTCCAATTAAAGGAATAGGGTGAGTAATATCAATTAGTCCACTAATTATTATTTTTAATATTAAAACCTATTTTAAAAATATAAACAGTAAACAATCAAATATTAGATAATGAATTTATGAATGAACACAAGTTTTGACATTGAATAATTCCAATAAATAAATAAATTAGATAATTTCAGCATTAAAAGGCTTTTATTTAATTCCCACTTCATGAATCATTAAACAAGCATTTTCAAAATTGTTTGAAAGGTTGAATATTGTTATAGTTTTGTAATGAATTATTCAATATTCATTACACATATTTGTTTGAAATCATTTTGTCATTTTTATTTTAATAGATTTTTTTAATTTTAAATCATTCCAATACCATGTTAACATCACAAGAGTTCAAGAATTTCATTTTCTCAAAGTCTGAACCAGATATCTTAACATCAATGCTTAATGAGTATGAACATTTCAAGAGAAAATCTTGTGAACCAAATCCAGAGGTTTTTGCTTAGTCTCCAAGTACTTCATAAATAGAAAAAACTAATTTAGAGAAAAACTTGAATTTAAGAGTCAATAAACTAGTTGCAATGCTGACATTTTCACCAAAAGATCTAATCTTCAAACAAGAGAAAAAAATATCCAAGAATCTTGGTGAACAGCTTTTAAATTAATTGTGCAACAACTTGTGCACATAACAATGAACTGTCTAATTGTAATAGTTCCCAAAATCAAGCATCTCATCCAACAGTTAATACCAAAAGACATCAACTTTTGTAAATGTTAGTTAGTAATGGTTAATCAGTATTTTGCATATCTCATTAAAATAGACTGTTAAATGTATGAGATTAACAGGTTGATGTAAGAAATAATCATGTCTACACAGATTAAGCATGCAAACAGGACAGACATCTTGGTCAATGTATTTTATTCAAATTGGCATTTGTACTCCAATATTTTACCAACTTCTTTTACAAAATGTTTATCAAAATCATATATTTATCCTATTATTAGGTGCATGAAAAAGTGTCTTCTTTTGCTTTTTAAACTACAAACTGAACACATCATAGAGTTTTTTTTAATTAAAAGAAGTTGCAAAATTTTGCATATAACTAATAACTCAAAAACTGAAATAAGATTAAATGAATATTTGAATAATTCTAAGCATCAAAAACAAGGTGGCACCAACAAATGCTATTAACATCTTTTTGCATGGTTGCAACTTCTTAAAAACAAACAAAAATAAACATTATTTGTATGATTTCACAAAGCAATGACATAAGCTCATGTAGACTATGAGAAATAGAATCTTCAAGAAATTAAATTATAAAGAATAAAAGTTAAAGAAATTATTCATTACAACACAATGTCAAATATAATGAGGATAAGTAAAAAAAAAAAAAAAATATCCCTACCATACTACAGTAAGGTTCTTCCAATTCAACAAAATCTCTCTGCAGTGGAGAAATAGCTGTATAGGTCAAATACTCAAGTAGGATTTTCAACGCCATCACAAGTTGCTGCTCCTAGTGAAAAAAATATCGAAGTAATGAAAATAATACAGTGGCGATACAATGATTCTGGAAATCACGTAGAAACACAAAATTTTAAAAAAACTGAAAGTACAAAGCATTACTTTAAAACAAAGATAAAATGATGAAGATTTTTGGCTTTTTTTAATTGTAAAGTCAGAGCAAGTGAACAGTAGTTGATGAGGGTTAAAGAACAAGGAAAAAGTGGCTATGAAAAACATAACGAAACAAAAATGATAAGAGACCAGAAAGATGTGATCTTTTATGGGAGCAGAGGCACTGGATGGCTACTACTAGTCTTTAAGGCTCAAATCCCAGCTGTTTTTTTTTTAATGCACATCTGAACTAGACAATGTCAGGTTATGAAACTGAAGATTTTCATAATAAAACTGGTATTAACCAAATGATCTGGTACAATTTTCAGGATACACTTATATGATAAATATACAAAGTGAATTTTAGCTTATAATTAGTTTTTATTAGAAATATCTACAATAACTTATTTAGGTGTGAGATTTTATTATGCTACTCAAAAAACAAGTGGTCATCATATTGGATATATATATATATATATATATATATATAAAAAGAAACAGAACATAGTAAAGTCATTGATATTTTTTCATTTCAGAGATATAAAGGCTGGCATGATTCAAAAGAAAGATAACTACAAAAGAGAAAGCAAGATATTTTAAAGTTATTGAGTGATGGGAACACAATAAAAAGTGTGAAAAATTTGGACACAGATCAATTAAAACTGAAAACAAATACTTTGGCAATAACAAGAGAAAAAACATAGCCTTAAGAATGTAACAAAAAGAAATTTGAGAAAATTCAAAATAATAATAAGCAAGTGGATTGACCTGCATGAAAAGTTAATGTAAATGTAAACAGAAAGAAAAGATGCAGAATATTAAGAACACTGGCTAAAGATATAAATGCAACAAAACAAAACAAAGAGAATATGTAAATTAGATGAAGATGTATGTGAAATGTGATTTATCAATAGTAATTTTTAATGATGAACATAGAGCTTCATTGAATGGATCTAATGACTAGGCTAAAGATTAGATTCTTCATTTAGTCAACTAACATGACTTGAACAACAGGAATCTGTGATGATATACTTTGGGGTTCAACTTGGAGGTAGTCAGATTATAGATCTCTGTAAATTTGATTATAGTATCAAAATGAATTCACAGAATTACTGTAAATTCTTAGACAAGATATATTTGAGTGCTACAGGTCACAAGCAAGAAGTTTTAAGCTGAAGAGTATATTTATATTCATGACAGCTAACTATTGCCAATCTTGCCAAAAAAAATTTCAAAGACACCAAATTAATGAAATGACACCCAGGCTTTTTAGATGTTAATCTAATAGAAAACTTGGAGTTTATTAATAATAATAAAAAAAGAGAAAGGTAAATGAGAATGAAAAACAATATGCAAACAAAGACGTTTGCAATGTAATAATTGTTGCTAGTACTAATATTAAAACTGAAGTTGTAGAAAAAATTAACCTAAAGAATAACAGACTGATGAAGGTTATAGAATATCAAAGAGACTATATTAACATGCAGAATAATAATTTATTCTGGTATATAGGTTAGATTCAAGTCTTCCAAAACATTATCATTATTTATAATAAAAGATATATATTATAGACTAAAACCAAATATATTGTCCATATAAACGGAACAAAATTTTAAAAATTTGGTCATTGGTCATTTAATACTAGTTTTACTGTTAAAACATTGACTTGCATAATAAATTCTGACACAAAATTTCTAAATATATTACGAGGCATTTTCTAGAACAATGCAAAGACTTTTGAGTTCATTCCATACACAGAAATCTAACTAAGCAGTAAGTGACAACAAAAATTCAGAATTTCAATGAGAAGCAGATAAAGCTGACCATTGACATCCTTAACAAAAAAAAAACAAAAAAAAAAAAAAAACTAATAAACACCAGAAAGCAAAATACTATTTCATTTGATATTGTTTAATGGACTATGTGATGATTTATTTAGAATATACAATCTTAAGAGAAAGTACTAGTGAAATAAGAATATTTTAGTGAAGATCATGTTAATAACAGACACTACTGAACAAAAAGTAAATATCACTTAAAAAATTTTAAAATAAGAAACAAAATACTTTAAATTTGACAACACTAAAATCACCTTTTATTTGAAACAAATGTTCAAAATCCTTGGAAACTATTTCTTATCATGAAACCAATACACACACACAAATGAAAGCTAAATTTATCAGGAGACACAGATCAATAGCCCTCTAAAAACTTCTACTTGACATCCTCTTTATTTAAGTTGGCTTTTAAAAAAAATGAGGGTGAAGAGAGATATATAGAGAAAGAAAGAGAGAGAGAAAATAAGAATATTGTTTTTACTTTGGCCTTTGGACCTCTCCAAGCTGCAAGTACCATTCCATGAGTTTCTTCATCAGAAGGATAGGGCACAATTTTCTCCACACTTTCTGCTAATGGATCCACTGAGACTGCCAGGGTTTTGTAAATGACACGGTATTGTTCTGCAAAATAAGGAATTTTTTAAAAAATATAACAAAATATTAATTCTTCTTGCCATATATATATATATATATATATATATACACACACACATATGTGTGTGTGTGTGTGAATATATAAAAATAATTGTTTAAGCTTTTTATTATAAGTTTTTTTCTTTTCAGGATGTAAAGTGTGTAAAAATTGTTTGAATGTTTTGTATGTCCAAGCACTTCCAGCTATTCTTATAAAGATGTTATTGAGTGTTGGCTTTTTCTTTTTTATTATCCATGCTTCTAATATTTTTTTTTTTTTTTACATGTGGATGAAGCTATTACAGTTGCATTTTCTGAGTATGTTGTGCTATTGAGCTATAGTCACCGACTTTTTGTCCTGAAAAGAAAAAACTTATATGGACACAAGAAAAATTAAATAAAACACTTAAATGCAGTACCTTGTCAGTCATCATTAATGAAACTTGTATGTGTATGCATATATATCCTACACAATGCTTTAGTAGTAAGATCATAAAAGACTTAGTATTCATAAAGAAAATGAAAGGATTATTTAAATATTGGTCAGCATTTCTGCTTTGGATAAAATTGTCATTTTCCAGCACTTCTGCCTAAGATCAGAATCTGTGTGCTCTGTGAAAATATTTATTATGTAGTTAATTCTTTTTACTTCTAGCAAATCCTGAACAAGAAAGTAATTACCAGTTTGTATTGATTAGCAACAAAACTAAGTTTAGACTATGTCGAATAATAAAACTTACCTTACTGATGATTTTGTTTTCAAACTTCTTAAGCTGCGTGAAAATGTCTTCAGGCTTTGCTTGACCCGTAATGATCAGACACAAATTCTCAGAGCGATAAAAAGCCTTGTGATAGTCGCAGACCTGATGAAACACAAAAGTAATGCTCAACATTTTTCTTTTTAAAAAAAAAAATAAAATAAATAAATAAATCACACTTTGGCAAGATATTAAAAAATTGTAATACATTGCAATTTCTCTCATTTCCTTTTAACAGTTTCTTTTTCCTCTATACTGTGAAAACCAAATATAATTTGCATGCTATTGTCTATAAAAAAAAAAAAAAAAATAAGGTACACTTTCTGCTGATGGAACTGAGATTAACAGCATTTTGCAAATGGCACAGTATTGATTGACAAAGGAACAGTAGGACATTTGAAGATAAATGTATTTTAAAATGTTCATCTACCTAGAAGTTCTTGTATCAAAAAGACTCATTTACTTTACAGCGAAACTATTAAAAGGCACAAAAGAAGAAAAAAATAATGCAAGTAAGTAGCTCTTCTGGTAAGGTCATAGGAATAACATTAATGATTCAACTACTTCGCTTTTGGTAAATCTTTGATGTCCTAAGCTTTAGCTTTTTATTTATAAAAATCCATGAAATTTTTAAAATCAACACAAATTTCATCCCATAAACCATCATTAATAAAGTAGCAAACACAAAATTACAACATAAAGCACTCCCAGTGAAATACAATTATTCAAATAATTCTATGTTAAAAATTGTCTTAAGAAAAAGGGAAAAAAACAACACCTTTTTATGAGTGGTGCTGGAACGGATATTCTCAATAATGCCACCAGTTTCCGATTTGTAGCCACAGCAGCCAGGATACATATGACGCAACATAGCAAGGTAAGTGAGGCTCTCACCAGTGTTCTGACGGGCTTGCATTTCACAGTAAACAACACCAGCATCTTCACCATTCTCATCTATATGATGCACTTCAGTAATGTAACCAGATTTCTAAATAAATAACATAGAAATTCCTTAGAACAGAAGGAACACTTAACTGATGGCAAACTTTATAAGAAAATCTGAACATTTTACTAATATCAGCTCCTTCTGTTAAATAAACATCCATTCAAGTCATAGCCTACTTTAATTTACTTATTTCTAAATAGCATAAGGTGGACGTATTTTCTACACTAGAATCTATATAATTATTCTGCTTGTTTGTATATACAACCATTACACTTTTAAGAGTGAAAGGCAATATTAAATATAGAGGGAGGAAGGATAGAAAAGAATCAAGAGAGAGATTTGCTGACTGGATATCAAAAGACTATAAATGAGGAATGGAAAGGCATAAAAATTGCACTACATTAAAATTCTTTGAGAGAGAGAACAAAAGAAAGATGAAAGTGGGAAGGTAGCAGTAAATGTGCATTTCATATTCTTTTTTGCATATGAAATTAACTGATGGTTGCATAGCCTTTTGATAAAAACGCATAACAAAGAAGATTGAAGCATGATGATGTATACAGTCATCAAATTTCAACAGGCCCAGCTAGTGGTAATAATTTTTCTTGATTTAAAGTGGGAATATGAAGAAGTCTGGTACATTACATTAATGGGCAATCTGAAAAACTCTTCAAAATAATTAGGCCTCATAGATCAGTACAAAATAATTTAAGAAAAATTCTTTGGGATGTAAACAACATAGAGACAACATTAAAATTTCAGTATTTAAAGAATCCACAGAATTATAATACAATAAGTAATACTGCTTTTTGGATTTACAGGGTTGGCTTTATGTACAATTTCCAAAGGTTATATAATTTAAGTAACCAAAACAATAAATTAGACAATATGAAAGTTACAGGAGTTATATAACATGTTGGAAAAATTTTTTTTTAATGACAATACGGGTCATCTCCATGAGCTAGGTCAGTGTCTTCAGGTAAGAATAAAAAGATACAATTGTGTGTCATTTGTATTGAAGCCATTAATATCTGTTGGATTTTAAATTAATCCATTCAAAGTAAATCCCTGGTATTCTCTCTATAAACTTGAATACCACATTGTGTTGCTATTGCTTTGCAATGATATTATGCAAGAACCTGGTCTTAGGTTTATCATGAATTGAGAGATCTGCACACTCTTAAGACATTTTCTTCTTAGCCAAACCTCCCCCCCATCCCCCGATCAAACTAGCATTTATTAAGCCAAAATTGTTGCCAGTTGTGTTATGGTGAACTACCACTTCATTCAAAGTGCTGTTATGCAGCATATCTCTGCAATGTGATAGAGTGAATAACAGATCTACTCAGAGTGAGCTAATTACAAATCCAACAGAATTTGGCTTTAATACAAAAGTCACACACTTTAGTCTTATTCCATCCTACTAATACACACAAAAATATAAATTTTTATATATATATATATATATATATATATATATATATATATATTCAAAATAGTTTTTAAGCAAATAAAAATGCACAATTTCTTATATAAACAACTTTCAGTAAAATATGGAAAATGAGTAAGGCTGTGGTTACTTACAGGCAGTGTTGGATACAAAACATGATCCAGATAAATTGGCAATAGGTTACAAAAGCCCTCACTACCAGCCATGGTGACTGTGTAACAAGTGTTATCTGTATCAGTCCAGGCATTGGTACCAGATGCAAGGCAGCGGTTAGCTAACAAATCAAGTACTCCCTATAACAAGAAAAAAAATTATATAAATAGGGTATTTGGTTCAGACAATTTATTCTATTAATGTTATAAGCACCATGTTCCTGTGATCCATTCTACAAACTTTTTCAAGGGTATAATTTATAAAAAAATGTTTCTCAAGACAAGAAAAAGCTTGATTGTCCAAAGAAAGCATAGAATGTTATTGACTCTTCTTAAAGTCTTTGTTAAATCTTACCAAACTTAAAAAAAAAACTTGCAAAATGACAGTAAAATATTTACAGTAAAAACTCTTGGATTTAGAACCATTAATGAGCTTATATAGGATTGATATAAAACTTTGCCTGTACCATATTTGCTGGCATATAAGACACCCAAACTTTACATTTAACGTTAATATATTATGGAGTTAGACTCAGTATTTGTACTTAGCCTATGCTGTCTATTGAAACATTAGTCTACAATATAGCTCAAATTTACAAATAAAACCTAAAAGATATATTTTTGTGGAAAATATATGCCAACAAATACTGTAATTATGAGGATTGAAATTGATATAAGGCTATTCCAAAATCACCTACCTTATAGGGATAATCTTCACTCCCTAAGAATACGAGGTGCTCCAGTGTGTGAGGAAGACCATCGTCATCATGAGCTTCAGTAGCTGTGAAAAAGAAAAATATATTTTTTAAAAAAGCAAAGATTAAAAGATTTTTTCAGCCATACTCCAATGTTTTGTGGAAAGATAATAAATCTAATTTTAACTGCTGTCAGAAACCTGTGCAAACGATGAGGCTTTAACACACAATTTCCACAATTGAAAATCTATGATGATGCGGCCAATAGTTAAGTCAGGTTTCTAAAAAGTCCCATAATGACAATGGCTTAGGTAGGCCAGTCAGTCAGTTAACAGATATCCAATATGAAATCATCAAACACAGGTTCAGCAAATTTGTCCAACAAGTTATCATTTGCCTTGTGCTGTTTTAATCTGCACATTGCAATAAGTCAATCAGCAAAGTCATCATCTCAATTGGTACCTCACCGTTTGCTCTCTGGGAAATGAAATTTCTCAAATGAAAATTTGGAAGACAAACTGTCTTAGTAAAGAAGAATTTCAAATAGTCTACAGGACTGATAAAGATACTGGCACTTCTCATTTCTCCAATACAACACAAAGAATGTTATTGTTATCTCCTTTGGATCCAATTATTCTAAACCGATTTTTACAGTAATATGTAAATTTAAAAATTTAAGAATTACACTTAAGTTTCAAATAGACAGGGGTGGTTAGAATAAATATGGTAAATGTAATTTAATAAAAGGGGTATTGAATAAGGAGGTCCAATGTGGATTTTTCTTTAAAAAGAAATAATTTTCTGAGCTATTTGATACTCAAAAGGTATGTTCAAATGAAAATAGTAGAAATGTAGGTGGAGAGGATGCTGAAAAGTTCTCTACCCAACCAATTACCCAAAATCTGACCAAATATCAAAATCTTTTTGGAATCTCTTCAAGCTGAGAACTATTCAGCACATCATCATGGTCATGTAACTTTGATTTAATAAGATAATATTTAATATTTATATTGCTTGTTGATTGATTTGTTTCTCTGGCTTATCAACACTTTGCAGATTATTTAAAGCCAGAAAACATTTTTACAATGTAAGAATCTATTTTTGGGGGCGTGGGGGTGTGTGGAGATAATAATGGTTTAGTGATACAAGTTTTACTGATTAACCCATAGCTGGGAGGGAGAAGAGATGGAGTCATACCTTTTCCAAGATCATTTTACACATTAAGTGAATATAACAAACCCAACAGAAATTAGAACTTGGCTCTCTGATTAACAATTTGAGTCATTATCCATTACATCAGCCACACAGCCAAACATACAGTACCTGGTATTCTGATGTCATCACCCATCTTGGTACTGACCAGGCTCAATGTTACTTAACTTCAGTGGTCATATAGGAACAAGTGTTTCAACATGAAAGAGCAAGATGTGACAAGGTCTTTTTTTTTCTTTTTAAAAATGGTGGCTCTACACACATGCATGATGTGTGTGTCTAGAAATCACCTGGTCCCACTGATTTTATCAGTGGTGTCAGGACATGCCCATGACCTTCTAGTGAAATGAGATGCTGCTGCCTGGGCAACAGGTTCACAGAAGGCCAGAGCTGTCAAATCCCAACTTTCCAGCCTCAGCCAAGTTCAGAAGCATCTGTGTGGCCTTATGGGTGGTTGTTTTCCAATCTTTCACTCAGATGAATTGTTTAAGCCTCTCACTAATCTATCACTATTTTCATGGCAGATAGTTTGAGCAAACCACATTCCTTGGTTCCACCAGTCCAGACCTTCACAGCTAGGACCCACCATGCCATGTACACCAAAAAAGTTGATTCATCCTCATATTCCATTGGTTAGGAGAAAGTTCCACTCAGGCAACTTCTTTCTCAGAGCTGAGTGTTGCAATGTGGAGAGGATGCTTCTCTCATCACTGCAATCTTGACCTCTTCAAGTATAGGGTTGCTCCACACCATATGCCCTTACAACATTCCTAATTTAGTAACCCTCCACTGAGAGTGGCTCCTGGACCTTGTAATGGGTGAATGGGTGAAAAAAAAAAAAAATAATAAGGAAAAAAAAAAAAAAAAAAAAAAAAAAAAAAAAAAAAAAAAAAAAAATGGGGCAATAAGTTACAGTTGGATTATGCAAATTTAAATTTGTTTCCATTAAAGATTTGTACCCTTTTCAGTACTGATTTTAACTTTAAGCAGCCGAGAAAATATTTATATATTGATACAACTATTTCGAAATATGGAATTTCTGTAGATTTTCTCCCCCAAAAACTTTAGAAATAAAGCATTCACAAAACCTTTGCCATTTATGCCTATACCAATGATAATTTATTATTAATGTTGGCTTTGAAGTCAATTCACTAGTAACTTTTTCACAAAGAAGCAGAGTTGCAGAAAATTGCCATTTTCCCATTGACATTTCAACTAATAGCAATAAACATTGAGCAATTCCATGCTAATTGTTGTAGTCACTAAAATTTTATTGTTATGACCTACAATGTCAATTAAGAAGAAGGGTTCTGTAGGATTAACAAACCAATATGCAGAAGAAAATGTCAATGGATTTATTCTTTATAGTTTAAATATAAATACAAATGAAATGTTTTTTTTCCACATTTTACCAAGAATTGGTATTTCTTGAAAGAAATAAACTCATTTTCTTTTTTTAAAAACATCAGCTACAATGAAAAATAAAAACTACTTTCTAGATAGAAAGTCATACTGTACTGTAATAGAGCACAAAGTGGCCAGTCAATGAAAATTGAATACTACTCCCCATAACCATATTAAGTGCATAGTAAAGGAGGTGGCATTAAGTTACAACAATTATTAGCTTACACTCAAATTTCAGACATCCTTCATGCTGAGAATGGACAGTAAAAAAAAAAAAATATCAAGTCACTTGAATTAAAATTTTCAAGAAATTGCAAGTTTCTATCAGAAAACATGTTCTTTATTCTTATATTATTAATATTGTGCAGAGCAATTTGAAAGCTTAAAAAGTGAAAATATTGCAAAAAGTGATGGTGTCAGCTTGACTTTTGACAAAAAAAAAACAAAACAAAAAAAACTTAGACCTTATGTAGCAAGATCACTTTTTAAATATTAGTTAATCTGCTCACCACTTTTTATGTAATATTTTAGAGAAAACACCCAATACAATAAGAATCATTATTTTAACAAGTAAAATGTTTTTGTTGAATGCATATCCATGAATAAAATATTTTATACACAAAAAAAAAATAAAATAAAATAAATAAATAAAAAATGGCAATTTTCAAAGCTATTTTTCATATATTTTTTGATTCTGTGTATATCTGAAGGTAAATAAGTCTGTAGTCTGAAGGGTTACTAGCTGAATTTTGACCTGAAATTTTCAATTTATAATGTTCAATCTATCCAATTAATAGTGTTGAGTGCATTGGCAAAGAAGATGGTGTTGAAAAATAAATATTTGATGTGTGAAATAAATTTTTTTTTTTTTCATTATTAGGCTAAGGACTTATTGATGAATTTTTACATTAACTTTAAGCCGGATATTTTCCACTTTTTGTTCTAGAAATTAGTCTTCAGGTCCTTTTTTCATGCGAAATTTTAATATTTCTTTTCAGACATGACCAAATGTTAAGTTTTAAAAAATATTTTAACTCATTGACTTTCTTCATGCACCATAAATGTAAAAAAAAAAAAAAAAAATTTGTTATGCAAACATTTAAATAATGCTAAATTTAAAAGTAATGACCACTTTTTAGATTATTCATCAGAAAAATATTTGAAGGGGAAAAATTACAAATGCAGCAATTTTAAAATATGCAAACCTTAGTTGTCATTTTTGTTTTTGTAATATAAAAATCATATGGCGTCAAGATGACAAGTCTTGCTTTAAAAAAATGCCATTGCTTACCAAATTTACTTTTAATTTACTCTCTAAAATAAAATGTCATATTGATTTTTTACTTTTAAATATTGTAGTTATTTTATTTTGATAATGGCTAAAAAAACAATTGAATTCTTACAATTAGAATTATTAGCAGTCAGAAACTTCAACACCATTTTTGTATGGAGCTACACCTCAATTGGTCTACCCGACCGTGGAGCATCTTTGAGCGAGAAATCTGAACGAAACTTGCATTTTAATTTTTTTTGCTCATTATTCAGTTGTTTTTTTTGGGGGGGGGCAGCATTTTTATTTTTTCCTTTTTTTTTTTTTTATTTTTTTGTTAATAAAACTAAAGGCCGAAAATGTCGCTTATTTTCTTCCATGTTTGATGTTAAAAAAAAAAACAAATTACAGTACATCATTTTTTGACGAACTTATCTTGAAAAGTGTACGTCAACATGACAGCTGTCACAAACAATCCAACAATCATATTTTGAATGAAATTAAAAAAAAAAAAAAAAAAAAACCTAAACGTTCCTTGCCACCTAAAGACAAAAATAGAACAAATTTATCAGCCAAACCAGTATAAAACAAGTTACTCATTTATTTTAGATTATGGATGGAACTAAAAAATCTGAATTTATCCTACTTGTAACTTCCTGGAGATTAGATTTGTTTTTATTGTAACTTTCATCATCTCTTCTTAATTGATTTCAGGTTAACAAATTATTTAAAAATGTGAACGCTCCATTTATTTTAAACACAGAAATCTACCAGATTTCAATCATTTTTAAATTGTTTTAATTTGCTCTATTAAGTTTAAGTGCCTTGAAAGACAGACATTACATTGAATAAAGAAAAAGTGAAGTAAATGAAATGGATGTCAAAAAGCGGACACTCTGACCTGATCCCACATGGTCTGCTGAACATAAAAAAAAAACGTTGTTACTCAAAAGATAACTTTCTTTTTAAACTTTAAAAAGAAAAAATTTTTTAAAAAAGTGTTATTTTAACGAACTAATGAGGATTTTTTCTTTCTTTTAAAAAGAGACAATTCTATTTATTTTTTTTAATCTCTTAATTAAAGAAAGGATTATTTTATTGAGCTCCTCTTTCATTTTGTCCACCGAGGTTCTTTAAAGAAAAAAAAAATTCTTGTAATTAATTTAAACAAAAAATATTTTTTTATCATTTAAATTTAATTTTTTTAAAATTTAAATCTTAAAAAAATTTAAAAAAATAAATAAGCACATTTTTTATTTTATATCTTGATACATGATAGATGCAAAAAAAAAAAAAAAAATATAAAAAAAATTGTTTTATATTATTATTTTTTTATTTTAACAAATAAGTCATTATTTAGTTCACATCATACCGCCCTAAACGCCTATTTGAAAAAAATCTTAAACATCACAGCAACAGTCTATTTTCTTTCGAGTCATAAATATTCAAAACAATTTCAGTTACACAAATAATGTCGAGAAAGAACAAGTTTTTCCTTCCAGCAGGAATATTTGTTAAAGACGAAACAGAATTATTATTATTTATTTAATTAATTAGAATTTTTTATAGTCAAGCTCAAGCAATTCCCAAGCGCTAGGTCACATGGCAATGTTGCCGTATACGGATATCTGTTAAAAAATAATAAAAAAAGCTTTCTTTTTGCGGCCACAAAAGCATTTTGTACCCAATTTTGGTTTCAACATATAACTAGAAAAAAATTAATGATTAAATTATTTATTTTTTTAAAGAAATCATTTTCCTAAAGCAGTTTCTTTTTGCATTTAAAAAAAAAAAAAAAAAAAAAACGAAGACTAAGAAAAAAACCCAAAATAATAACGAAGAGAACAAGTTGCATGTAAGTAAAACTATTTTTGGCTTGTTACTTAACAAATTTACTTAATTCGGTTTATATTTAATTAATTAACTTTGTTTCTTTATCGTTAAAAAATATTTTTTTAAATTATTCAGTTAGAGACGCCATTGTCTTGGAGTTTGTTTTTAAATCAAAATATTGTCATAAAAAATACATTTTAAAAATATATATTTATACATTTAAATAAATAAACATAAAAGCAAGATTTTAAAAAGCCATCAAAAATACTTCTTTTGAAGATGAAAAAAAAAAGATCTGTGGTGTATATTTCATTTTTTTTTCTTTTAAATTCAGACAATATACGAAAAACTGACAGGACGATCATGAATTTTTACCCAGACAGAAATATCCATTGACAATGGGTCCATCGACAGCAGCAAGAAATACGGTTAGTCCTGTCTTCTTGGATTTATATTTGGAGACTGGGATCGACCCATTAGCTTCAACAGTGCAAATATATTCAAAGTCTCCAAGCGCCATCGTAAAAGGTTCCTCTGTTGTGCGTTGTAACTTGTCTCTCTCCTCACTTTTGCTTTCAGTTGAAAACGATTACCTGTCCTTGCCTGACGCTACACGAGAACACGACCCGCTGCTGCTGCTGATTATTATTATTATTCCTTTCTTCGGTTCGGTAAACCATTATCTTTAGCTTACCTCATATCTAGAAACAAACTATTCTGCTTGATTGTCTTCTTTTTTTTATATTTTCTAGCAAAGGTTATTTCTGTTCCTACTTACCATCTGCTGATGGAAAGAAAACTTTATTCCATAACTTGAAAATAAAAAAAAAACAAATATTCATAACAAATGTACATTTTCAGCCGTCACCGTCTTTAAAATGACCGATCAACTGTCTTAGGATTTGTTGAAACTGGACCTAATCATGAATGTAAAAATAATTATAAATTTAAATCTGGTAGTAGTATCGATTTTTACAGGAATTCAATAATCAAATCACTAGACTTGTCTTTTACAATATGTATCTTTTCAATGCAAGTTTCAAGAGGGAGACTTTCGAACTCCGTTAAAAACCGGGAATTTCGCAATAGTTAGGAAAACTAAGATTGGCGCAACATGATCTAGTTACCATAGTTATCCTTTAAGTTTTTTCGGTTTTTATGATATTCAAGCGAAAACCATTTTAAGTTCTTAAAATTTAATTTAAGAACTTGAATTTGAGATTTTAAAAAATAATTTTTCTTTCTTTTGTAAACCCCAAAAACTAAAACTTTTTTTAGTTTAAAAAAAGACTTTCTATACTTTTAAGTCTTTGAATCTAAAATCGCCCCTTGTAAATGTAGTACAGAAGGTTGGAATTTATTAGGTGTCTTCAGCGATTTTTTTTAGTCTTAACTCTTAATAGGAAAATGCCATCATGTCATATCGCAATCGAAAACGAAATGCCAAGAAGGCGACTCTAAACCCACAATCTAAAAATACGTACAATTTTAAAAATAAAATGGTGGAAATATTTTTGCTAATACCATAAGGAAAGGAAAACAAAATATAAAAAATACATTTTTAATGATTTTTGTAGTTTTCAACTGACAAGAACAAAATTGCATTGCCGCTTAGCAGACAAAATTAAGGAACGTGATCAACAAATCTCTACTGTAAATTCGATGCAGGAATATTGAACACAAAGTCAGTGTTCAGCTGAGCATTATCTCCAGATTGTAAATCGAGCTCCCACCTTAGAGCCACGTCCTTTCTCCCATTTGAGTTTTCATTTTCTCAAAAATGAACCGGTTTCCAATAAAACAAAAGGGTTTTGTTTTGTTTTTTTTAAAATAAAAAGCAGAAGAAACCACATCGGAAAAATTACCTTATTCCACCGAAATATTGCTCTTTAGATTTTAAACGAACTTTTATTTAACTCACAACTTTTTTTTTGTTTTTTAAATGCCATGTCATTTTAGTTAGGCAGTCATGATTCTCCACAGATACCTTCAATATCATCCTCATAATCAGCATCAGTGAATTACCATAACTTTTGGGGGAAGATAAAAATATTTTGGCAAACAAGTATAAACGTGCCCGCAATAAAACGGACTGTCAAAAGCAAATCTTTTTCCCGTGACACCGCTTTTTTCACCCTGGCAATGTTTGTTTATAGAAACAGAATTGTAACCTAAACTAAACATAATGAAAGTGAATTTATAGATTTTATTTGTTCTTGAGAACTGACAACAAAAATAATAAATATATTATTTATTTATTAGAGTGTTCATTTACACTATATTTTTTTTTATATTATTTAATTGAAATGGTTGACAAGACAGCAGCAAATTGATTCAAATTTTATAAAATGGTAAAAATAAGGATATAGTGGGTTATCAGTTATGGTGAAGTGTATGAGTGTTGAAACAGATTAGTTTGATTTGGCCTTGTTAGTTAGATAACCCACCATAAGAGGGGTATAAAACAATAAAATCAGATTTTAAAGTAAAACAACAAATTTATATACATATAAATCAATTAAAATCTCTACAAATAAAATTAATGTATTTTGGTTGATACAAGGTCGTCAAAATGTTCGTAGTAGTCCTTGCAAGAATGAGTTTATGTGTACGTAGGTAGGAACGTGTGTGTGTATGTATTTATGTATGTATGAGCGTTATCTTAGGGTAGGAATGTCATTGAAGTAATCGCTCAGTCTTAAAATGTTCCGTTCGTTTATCAAGTATTAAAAGAGGCCAGGGAGAAAGGTAGAGATAATAATAACGATCGCTTGACGTTTGTCAAGGGACGTGTTAATACGCTCGTCTCCTCTCTAGTGACAGGCGAACTTGCCCGTCTTTTTATTTTGTTTGTAGGGCTTGAAAAGGTTGTGGAATCTTCCACAACAAGCCAGTTAACCCCTGCTAGGAAATGCACTATTCCTGTTGTGATTTTCATCATCACAATCTTACAAAATATATAACAAGCATTCATTGGTTAATCACATTCAATCTAGCTTGCTGATTGGTCAGTTCCGACCAATCAAACCGCCTGCACGCGACAAATCTGTTTTCCCGCGTTTTCGTTCGGAGCCTCCCACGTGATACACTATCTTATAAAAACAGAACACGTGTAAACTCCCATGTTGTTTCTTTTCATTCATATTTCTCCTTGCTGCCAAGATGTAACTTTCAAGAACTCCCGTCTTGACTTATGTAATCAGACGTTAAAGACCATTACCAACATTCACGCAAGTACGAACTCTGATATCTCTTCTGAACTTTTACCAACTTTACAACTCACAATTCCAAACATGCTAAAGAAACTTTATTCTTCTAAACTACAGTTTAATAATTACTTTCGCTTTATGAACTTAGGAACAAATATTACCTAGTCTAAGAGACACAACACTGTCTAACCTTTTCACTCAGTATTCATGCATGTATATCAAACACTAATAAATTCAATTGTTACGTTTTGAAACAATATGTTTATGAATCATTATTCTCTGTCTTGTATTAATTGTTGTGGATGGAAGATTATTGAACACACAATTTTAAGCCTTCTGATAATTCAAACCTTCTATTCCTCTCCAACACACATCATACATCCGCAACAAGGTCATTTGGGATTTCACTCCCGGATATGATTCCGGTCTTTCCATTGGACAACGAACAAACTTCGCGTCGGCTCGCGAAAAGGTCCGTAAAAGAATTTGTTTCTGAGAATTGAAGATTATTTGAATTTTGTTTTTAAATGTTTCCTATTGGCCGAAAAACATTTCGCATCAAGGTGTGTAATTTCACGAGTTTTGTTTTGGATTCGCTTTTACGTGTGTGTTAAGCAAAGTTTGTATATTCGAGTCTTTTTAATTTCTAACAAAATCAATGAGTCAGTGCTTAGCATTTGAATTTTAAATCTCGATCTTGTTTTGTTCACTACAAGGATTTCCTTATAGTCTGTTCACATATTTTATTAATTTAGTAAATGTTCATAACTTTCTTTATGAACAAAAACTGTTTTCACATTTATTTCTTTATAAATTGGTAAATGATAAATATTGCATTACTTTTTTTATTTGTATTAGTTTTTAGAACGCTGTAAGTATAAAATTATTCTCGCAAATAAACAATCTAACAAATAATGTTTCATACTTTTGTTGTAAATTCTCAAGAACCCCCAAAAAATGTATAAATTCGCTTTCATCATATGTTTAGGTTTGTGGGGATCACTTACATGTGCCACACCTCCGCTTTCTTTAATGTCATTGGTTTATAATTACATGATACTTATTATATGACAATTTAACCATCGCAAGTAATTCGAATTTTTCTCTAAAATCACGGATTGGTCCATTTCCTGACCAATCGCGTATTTTAGTATCTTTTCTATATTTTTAGCGCCAAGCTCGCTGGAGCCTATCCATCGTTATATAAAGACTCTCGCTGTTTGCCAACATCCAGTAGCAGTTCAATTCTTGGAAAATAAGGCACGGCGCTATATTGACATTTTAATTCTTAATTATTACTAATTCGAGTAATCATACTAATTCTTATTGATATCACTCATGAACATTACATCTTTCTACACTGATAAAACACTGTGGGACTATTTTTTATTTAGTTAAAGATTTCAATTGAACTTTGTAGTTAAATTACATTCAATTTTGTACTCAACATTTATTAGGTAAACTTACCCTTTTTATTACGGAAAAAGGGAAACAACTTTCTTTATACTTATTGTTGAAATTTGTATACCATTGTTAATACAATATTAATTAATGTTCACTGAGCTTGATTGTTTTTCTCTCGTGTATTGTTGTTCGTAAATTAATGTGGGGTGTTGTTTTACAAGAACACAGCCTTCTTTAATCTTGATTATATTCACGATGACCCTAGCCAACAATACTTACAGCATCACTACAAATGGTAACCCCGATGTGCGAACTACAAATGGTAACCCCGACGTGCGAACTACAGGTTTTCATCATTTACAATCAACGCGGGAACCTAAGGGCAGAAAAAACAGACAACTTCCTCCAGGATGATGTGTTAGCGGCGATTCTCGGGAGTTCCGCCATTGTGATGTCCGTCCACCTTTTGATGTTGTCTGATCAGCTTTTGCAATGTCGTCCCCGATTGCGTCTGCTTTCAACAGTGCCTTGCATGATGGTCTTGCATAGGCTGTTATACCGTGTGGCGTGTAGTCAAACCATGACATCTTCCGATGATTTATAGTGACGAGGAGAGATTCCTGTCGGCCTACGAGACTTTTGAACTTGCTCCATACATAGTTTTGAGTCCCCTGTAGGAGATGCATTCTCAAGCATTTGTTCTAAAACGCCTGGATCCTTTTTTTCTGTATCTACCAGGAGTGTTCAAATCTCACACCTTGGATGGATATGGCCAACGATTTGTACAACTTGAACTTGGTATGGAAGCTGATGTTTCTCATATCCTTTCCAGTCTGACCATCGGGACTGTGGCGATCCGTTTGCGGATTTCTACGTTGCAAGTGCCATCTTTTGACAGAGTTACTCC